AGATAGATAGATAGATAGATAGATAGATAGATAGATAGATAGATAGATAGATAGATAGATAGATAGATAGATAGATAGATAGATAGATTTTGACTTAACAAAGGTGAAGTCAAAAGGCGGCTCTGTAATGTGCTGATTTGGCATTCTAAATGTAAAACTTGCTGATATAGTTTTTTTTTATTCCATTATACTTGATATATACATAGGAACAAAAGCGGGGAAGAATGTGCAAAGATAAATAAGGTTATTTTGAGGGCAATATGAATTAAAAGTCCAGTAGTATTACAAAAATGGCTTACTTTTTTTTCTTTTTCTAGATATAATGTAAAGAATCATATATGACCAGTTTCTCAATCACACACTATTCTGTTTTGTTTTATTATAGAGCTTTGGGTTGAAACTTGACAAAAGATGGAAAAATGTTTCAGGAATGTGAATACTTTTGCATGGTGCTGTGAGTGTAGTTGTCTCAGCAGCTGAGATGATCCCCTGGAGGGATGATCTGCAAACTCACTGCAGGAGCACACAGAGGAAAATAAATAGCCTAAATCAGCAGAACACACCAAACATTCTCAGTTTACTGTTTATATGTTTTCACAATTTCAAAATACTTTTAGAAAATCCCAGATGCTTGTAAAGTAGGTATTCAAAATAAAATTAATTTTTAATGATTCAGTGCTGTTTTTTTTTGTTGTGTTTTTTTCGTCTTAACTTCACATGTCTGAGGTGCATGTTGCATGATCTAAAGTTCATATTAAGGTGTGAGTTGCTGCATCCCAGGTGCTCAATGTGATCAGTTGATTTCTGCGCAGGTTTTATGGGGAGGAAAAGATGTCTCTTTAATAAGAGCCAGTGTCCTTGTGCTGACTGGAGATTTCTCCCTCCCTCCTATAAAAGCGCAGCTCTCTCCTTCCTTTGCAGTCAGTTCTCCTCCGGCCCAGCAAACATGAGTTTCTCGTTGGACCACCACTTCACGGGCCCCGGCTCGTACCGCAAGGCTCGGCCAGCATCCGTGTCCTCCAGCGGCTTCCACTCTCAGCAGCGCCGCCGTCTCGCCTACAGCCAGCCGTCCTCCATGGAAAGCCTGGAGACCTTCAACGGCGACATGGCTCGGAGGAGTGAGAAGGAGATCCTGCAGGCTCTCAATGACCGCTTCGCAGGCTACATCGATAAGGTGCGCAACCTGGAGATGCACAACCGCAACCTGGAGGCTGAAGCAGCGGCGCTGCGGCAGAACCAAGCCGGGCGCGTCTCTGTTGGGGAGCATTACGAGCGGGAGCTGAACGACCTGAGGGGTCTGCTGCAGCAGCTGACCGGGGAGAAGACCCGCGCTGCCTTAGAGCACGAACACCTGGATGAAGACATCCAGCACCTGCGAGCAAGACTGGAGGATGAGGCGCGCAACCGGGAGGAGCTGGAGGCTGCAGCGCGCACCATGAAGAAGTACGTGGAGGAGTGCCGTCTGGCACGGATGGAGCTGGACAAGAAGCTCGGCGCCCTGGAGGAGGAGGCGGCTTTCCTTAAGAAAAACCACGAGGAAGAGGTGGCAGAACTTCTGGCGCAAATCGATGGCGCTCAGGTGAGCTTTGACCTGAGGGACACGATGAGAGCGGACGTTACCAGCGCTTTGAGAGAGATCCGTTCCCAACTGGACAGCCACGCGTCAAAGAGCGCAGTGCACGCAGAGCAGTGGTTCAAAGGTGAGGTTAGAGGTAAACTTTTCAGACATATCTACAAAGTTATTGTGCATCATTTTCACATAAAACAACTTTGCATTGCAGTACAGGTTACACACTTTTTAAAGAAACAAAATTGGATAGAAACTACCTTTTTGACACACATTTTGGATTTAAATTATTGGACTGCAGTTGCATCGATGCAGCACAAACTCTGCAGGTGTGAGATGGCACACTAATAGGATACTCATCCGCAGTCTGGCTTGCTTCCATTGCATGCAGTGCACCTCTTTATTATGTTGATTATGGATGCACAAGAGAAAGATCCTCAAGGACATTAGATTGCATAGGATGCAGCAGGACAGATTTTCACCTGGTGTTTCTTCTAATTTGTTCTTCTAGCTGCATGCAGATTAAATAGTTTCCCCCAGTATGAAAATTATTTGCAAACAGTGTCACTCATTTCGGCTTGTAAAGTGCTACAGATCCTACAAATGTGTTAGAAAAACTTGCAAAGAGCAAAAGCTGCATGACCTCCAGACTGACTGCAGAACAGACAAGGATGTTTCTCCTGAAGGGGAGAAAGCTGAGTCAGACTGACTGACAGATGGACAGTGTCAAGGTTATTCAGGCCTCCAGTGGATAGGGAGATAACTCACCAAATGTCTCAGGATGACTGAAGGGAGAAAAAAAAAATGAAAATCAGTTATGTGAAACTATAACAATAATAGGGCATCTGAATGTTTAAAATTCTGTCGATTTTTTCTACATCCCGGCAGTACGCATGGAGCGCCTGTCTGACGCTGCCAGGTCAAACCAGGATGCCATCCGTGGAACCCAGGAAGAGATTGCAGAGTACCGCCGTCAGCTCCAGAGCCGCACCATCGAGCTGGAGACCCTCAGAGGAGCCAAGGAGTCACTGGAGAGGCAGCGGATGGAGAGTGAAGACAGACACCAGGATGACATCAGCTCCCTTCAGGCAGGACCATCTGCACAGATATGCACTTTTGTCCATTAATGAACTTCTCAAAACCTCTGTTTTATCTCTTAATTGGAATATTTTGTGATTTAATTTTGTAGGAGACCATCAACCAACTTGACAATGAGCTGAAAACAACCAAATGGGAGATGGCGAGCCAGCTGAGGGATTATCAGGAGCTCCTGAATGTAAAGATGGCTTTAGATATTGAGATTGCTGCATACAGGTTTGTCAGGATCAAAGAGCATCCATTACATTTTCTATTTACGATCAGCAAATGTTTTATTTTCCATCTCTGATTTTGAAACAGGAAGCTACTTGAGGGAGAGGAGAATCGCTATGTTTCAGGTGGCTCCCCATACACCTATCTGGAGAGCAGGATCTCAGGCCATGTCAAAGTAAAAAGCGAGGAGATCTCGGATACAGTGATTGTGGAGGAGCAGACAGATGAGACACAGGTGACAGAGGTGACAGAGGAGGCAGATGAGGAGGAGGAAGAAGAGAAAGAGGAGGAAGAGGAAAAAGAAGAAGAGGAAACCAAGGAGGAGGAAGAAGCTGAAGAGGATGAAGGAAAAGAAGAGACAGAAGAGGAAGAAAAAGAGGAGGGAAAAGAAGAGAACGAGGAAGAAGGCAAAGAAGAGAAAACTAAATCTCCTGTTCAATCTCCAGAATCAAAATCACCAGCAGCTAAATCCCCTATGCCCAAATCACCTGCCAAGTCCCCTGCAGGCGATGAGTCAAAATCCCCTCCCAGTCAGTCCCCCGAATCCAAATCCCCTCCTCCCAAGACCCCCGAACCAAAATCTCCAGTAAAGGAGAGCGCTAAGTCTGACGATGCCAAAGACATCCCAAAGGAGGAGAAAAAGGAAAAGCCTCAGCCAGCCAAAGAGGAGCAAAAGGAGAAAGACAAGCCTGTAAAGGAGGAGAAGAAGCAGGAACCCAAGGAGAAAGAGCCAGAGAAGGTGGAAAAACCCGATGCAAAGAAGGAAGAGAAAGAAAAAGAAGAAACTACGAAACCTGAGACTCCCAGCAAGACCGCCGAGGACAAACCTGCTGCAAAGCCTGAGCCTGAAGTCAGCGCTCCTGTTAAAGAGGAGAAGCCCTCTGCTCCCAAACAGGAGAAATTAGAGTCTGAGAAAACTGAAAGCAAGAAGGAGGAGAAGAAGCCAGAGGAAAAGCCCGAGAAGACTGAAAGCAAAGAGGAGAAGAAGCCCGAGAAGACTGAAAGCAAAGAGGAGAAGAAGCCTGAGAAGACTGAGAGCAAGGAGGAGAAAAAGCCTGAGAAGACTGAGAGCAAGGAGGAGAAAAAGCCNAAGCCTGAGAAGACTGAGAGCAAGGAGGAGAAAAAGCCTGAGAAGACTGAGAGCAAGGAGGAGAAAAAGCCAGAGGAAAAGCCTGCACCTAAGGTAGAACCGGAGAAAGTGGAGAGCAAAAAGGATGAGAAGAAGCAAGTAGAGAAGAGCAAAGAGGAGAGTAAAGAAGAAGCAAAGGGGGACAAGCCTGAAAAGTCCTCTAGCACTGAGTCAAAGGAAACCAAGGAGGAAAAGGCCAAGAAGTAAGACTTATCGCTGCGATTTTACATGTGGAGGAGAAGGAGATGCCAAAGAACTGAGTGGGACAGAGGGAGGGGAAGGGTGTAGAGCAGGATGGAGCTGGACGTACCCAGCTGTTTAGACTGGTAACAGTATGTAAGCAATATTGATTTCTGTAGCAAATAACCCCACTGCTTCCCAAGTATGGCCATTACATACCCCCTGAAGCTTCTGGTGTATGACTGTAGTGAATGCAGAATGCTATAAACTCCTCTGAATGTGACAGCCGCCCTTAATGATAACAAGTGCATTTAAACTGAATCCTGGTGAGGATGGCAGGACCCTGCTGCACCCACACCAGCCTGTAAGGGCAGAGATGTCAAGCTAATGATTGTGAGCAATAGTGAACATATGTTTATTAAATGAGAAAAAAAAACTCTCTATATTATATTTACAGATTGATATATAAAGGAAGACTTGAATTTTGCTCGTTGCACACCTTAATGCTGCTTCTCCAGACAGGTGAATGGTGGCATCTCACTCTTCCGGTCTGCAAATGCTAGGACAATGATTGTGCTATGTATAAACTGCTGAGGATATGCAACATAAAATGGTAAATAAACAATTGAAAAAAGGAAATATCTGTTTGATATCATTTTTCTTTTATTTTGATATAACCGCCTTGCAGAAATATGGAAAATACAAGATTAATGAAGTGTCAGGGGCGCCCATACAAGGTGTGGGCCACAAAGGTAAAGGCTGGGAGTTACTGCACTGCATTGCGGATGAAGAGAGGGGGAGCTGTGCCCTTCCTCCACAACTGGCATCGATGTATAAATCAGAGCAGCCACATAAACTCCACTCAAAACAAGAACCCATGAGAGTAGCACCTTTCTGATCCAAATTAAGATAATTGATTCCTTATAACCAAAGTGAGGGATAAGATGCCCAGTTGAGTGTGGAGGGTTGTTCTTTTATAGAACAACATTGTTTTAATCAATACATATGGATCTATTTGATTATGGTTACATCGATATAATGAGAAGCACTGCTCTTTCCAGGTAATTGTCCAATTGAGCAATGATAAGTCTGTAAGTTCCAGGGCTGCAAAATGCTGCAGAAACAGGGTGTGGTTTTCCTCCAATGAAAAACCTCAGACTTGGAAAAATGACACCATGACTTAAAAAAAAAACAAAACAAAAAAACATGCTTTAGTAGTTTTATTTAGATGGGACAACTCACTAAGCTGCTCTTTTTGCTGACTGAGGATAATTGTGATAGAATTTGGCTAAAAATCTGCAGAGCACTGATTTTAAAGGGTGAAGGAATCCCTCTTCCTCCTGCAGCTTTTCCTTCCAACCTCTCTGTCCTCAGCCCCTCCCATCACAGCAGCATGTTTTAGATGCATTCTGCACATGCACTAAAAATAGATCCCTGATCATTGATAGTAGCAGATCATCAGTTTAATCTTTTTTTCCCCTAGGGATGTAATATCATAGAGTGGATGATTTAGGATGTCATCCAGCCACTTGCTGGAAAGACCACAGTATTTGTTTTTGATTGCAAGAATGCAACAATGGTAAGGCTTTATATGTCAGAACAAGCTAAATTTGATGATTTATACCCAGAAATAACTTTGGGCCTTCACAAAGCATTATAAAATAAGTTACTATGATCCACTCAGTGAAAAACTGTTGGCTTTTTACATTGTAAGGCTCAACTATTTTTATATTTTCCAGTTATAAGTTTAATAAATTCAACTTATTCTAATTCTCCTAAACAAAATCAAGTTTGTAAGTCAAGTACTAAACAGAGTCTACCTATGCATATTATGTACAACTGTTTTGTGAAGGAACAGTGAAGGAGAAAAATTATTTCTTCTCTGAAATATGGTGGTACTACTATTATACTGAGGTGATATTATTAGGGATCAGGAAAACTGGATAGATTTTATGGCTAGATGGGTGGAGGTGAATAACACGTTTGAGGCGGCATGATGTGAACACGCAGCAAAGAGTCGTAACCATGTAGCTAAGGATCAAATTATCCATATGTTAGAATGGCCTAATCAGGTGCTTTGCATTTATTTAAAGCTTGAGCTATTTTTGCAAAATGAAATGGTAAACTGGTGCAAAAGGGGAAAAAATATGCTCAGAATATCTACCACTGTAATAAGACAGGTTGTTCTGAAGGTATTGCTTTAGATGGGTTGTAAATAAATGCACAACACACTTTAAAGATTACTGTATCGTCCCCTTTCACCTCAAAATAACATTTTGCTAAATATATATAAAAAAAAAAATCCTCTAAACAAAACTCAAATACATTTGTGAAAAAATCAGTTCAAGGATTAGCACATCATTAGCACCAGTGCTCTTAAATTCCAGCACACTAAACACACATCTATCTCTATGCCATCTGGGACGGGATGTTCTTCAATGTAAACATTTCTTTGCTCAACAGAGGATAAGTATTGAACTGTCTAAAGAACCATTCAGATTGGTGATTCCCTGCCAAATTCCTAGGAGAAAAAATACATAGTTCAAATCTTCCTGAACTGGTCTTAGAAACATCCCCCTCCTGTTACTTTATCAAAGTGAAATGAATCCCGGTAGTTTTGTCAACCAAGAGCCATTTTGCTATCAAAGCCAGAACAATAACAGAGAGGACAAAGGCTACCTACAGTCAGAGAAAAACGCTGCCCTCTGTAGCTGTTTTACTCTGTGGAAATGACTCAGCTTACTCCAATGAACCACAATGGAATTACCAGCCTGCTCTCACAGACCTATAAATAGAGCAGGACAGATAAAGGCTGGAGAATGGAGAATAATCAAGATATCAGATGAAGATGATCTTTTATAAAAAAAAGAGCCAAGATGCACCAGAGAGGTGTTCAAGAATTTATTAAGAAAATGTTTAAAAAGGAGACCATGTTGCAAAGAGGTACAAACTTTTATTACATTTTACGCAGGTTCAACGGTGACTGAAGAAGCCCTGAGGGTGATTATACTTGAACGGCTTCAGCCGGTTTGGACCCCTGGATTTGAAAAAGAGAGCGAGAATGTTTAATGTACATTTATTCTAATTTGATTTTAAATAGTGTACAGATTTATAGATCTACTGGATACCTGACGGTGCGCAGACACATCTTTTCTCGTGGGAACTCACGGGGTCCCTCCACACTGTCATCTTGCACTTCTGTCTCCAAGTAAACATCCAAACAGACACACAGCCGTGCAATCTGATTGGTCAGGAGCTGGTGTCCTGGTTTTGGTCCCTGTAGCTCATTTTTGAACACATTCACTTCACTCTCCATGGCCTAAAAAAAGATGTAAAAGCGAAGTAAGATAACAGAACATCACATAAAGTTTTACAAAAGGAGTCACACCCCATGAATTTTCAATATATTGTCACTTTTCCAATATAAACCTAAGTAATCCATAGTGAAGGTGAAGAAAAAGTGGGCATAGTTTTAAAAACGGTAGTTTATGAAATAAAAAAAAAACTGATGAATTCTCAGCACCATTTAGACCATCAAAAAAAAAAATCCAGTTTCCTTTAGATGTTACATAAATTGATGCATAATCCAACTTCACTATAAATGAACCATCTGCTTGTTCATTGGGTACAGTGAAGCAGAATGAACAATGAGGATCAGCAAGTGAGCCGGGAAGAAGTTTTACATATGGTTAGGTTATAATATCCTAATGATTGCCTCATATAGCAACGTTCTAGTCTAGCCATCATCGAATAAATGCAGAAAGTATTTAAAACTACAGGTTTGAAAAGATGGTGCTGCAGAAAAGCTTTAATATCTCTTAGTAAAACATGGTGGAAGCAGCATCATGCTGAGGGAATACTCTCTACAGGCGAGACAGAAGAATGATCCAAGTTTGTGGAGCTTGTAGTCCTGGAAGAAAACCTGTTGGGAGGTTGTTAACAACCACACCTTCTAGGAAACTGATTACAGCAGGACTATCATATTCCAGTCCTTCAACAGGATGCTGCCACTTTTAGATGCAATTCCTGTACAACACGCCTAAATCTAAAGACTATTCTGCTCTTGACCAAATTATTATATATAAAGATAACAGAGCAACAGCCTTTTAGCAATGGTAATTGATATACCTGGTTTAGATCAGAGTAAATCTCTCCTGCTAAATCAGACTTTGGTTTAAAGGTTTTAAAGTATTGCAAAAGAGGTAAAGAAAAATCCCAAAAGTTGTTTGGAGAAAAGATGATCCTACAAAGTATCAACGGGTTCTTCTTGTATCAGAAAGTCTGCAATGACAGCTTATTTCTATCTCTATTTTTTTTTTTTAAATCCACTACTTTATGCCAATCAATGCTGATAAAATACAATTATTTTCATGGATGAGAAGTAACCAACAAATTTAAAGGAAAAACAACACTATGGAAGCACTGTTTGAATTATAGGATTGAAACCAGAACAGGAGCACAATAGGAGGGTAAAATGAACAGAGATGCGCGTACTCTCAGGTTGTCGTCGGTGCGTCCACTGCGCTCTCCTTTCCAGTTGAGGGACAGGGAGAACAGCGGAGAAATCTCTGGGTAGCGGGGACTCAGGACCACAGCAGCGTGCAGACGGGCTGAAAGGTAAACAGACTTAACGTTTGGAATGAGATTCAAACCAAATGACTCTCTTCTCTGTGAGCGGCTTTACCTGTGCCTCTTTCGACGACACCCATAAAGTACAGATCCGTCTCCCTGGCCAGTCCTGCTTCACTAACATGGCGAGTAAAGGACAGTTCCTGGAGAAAACACGACACTGTATGAAACCTTGAACAAATACAGCTTAATAAGTTTGCTTTTTCTGTCATTTACCGTGTACTCCTGCTGGCTGATGGTGGTCCAGCGAGCCAAACGGGAGACGATCTTGGCAGGAAAGAGGTGCTGACACTCGCTGGTGATTGGGATGATGCTGTGCTCTGCAGCCACAAACACAATCATTGTTTTATACAGAGTCACAATCAGGATTTTTTGTTATAATAAAAATAAAAAATGGTTAAATGAAGCACCTAAAGAAGCAAACTGTTTGTTCAGAGCCAAGCGGGACTGGACTCGTCCCTTCAGTAGCTTCATGGTACTCTCCATGTGACTGGCGCTAAGGGAACTGCCCACCAATACGCCCTGGAAAAAGACAGAAGCTAGCTTTTACTAGCTGTAGCTTTGCTCCCCCTACACACCCCATGATGTCAGCACTCACCTCTGATGTTTCACTAGGAAAATGAAGCCCTCCCAGATTCTGAACCCACATGTAGGGATATCCCAGCTCATCCACATAATCAGAGAAAGAAACTATCCTAAAAAATAAATTAAATGTCAGTCCTACAGGAATAAATTAAAATGTCAAACCGTAATCGCTTTCACTAAATGTGACGGCTTAATGTTCTTACCCAACTTTATCAAACTGGTAGCGATTTGCTGGATTGGGGGTTTCTCTTCCCTGGTCGCTGGAGTAGAGACAGCTGAGGAGAGTGTCGGATTTAAGAAGCTCTCTGGAGAAAAGAAAACCGTTATTGATTAGCGATTGATTTCATCAGGAAAAAACATCCAGATGTTCTCAGGATTATATGCGAACCCTAAAATGTACATAGGCTGTTAGATTATTTAGTTTGCACACACCCAGCGCTGATTGCCGTGTTGAGGTCAGTAGAGGTTGAGACTTTAGTCTTAACAGTCATAATATTCAGATTCATCAGGTAGAAGAAGTAGAGATGCAGAGTGCTGCCATCTGTAGGGACAATGAGAAAAAGACACACTGAAAAGGCTAATTCACTGTTATTTCTTACCTTCTCATCATCCTTTCATTAAACCTCACGCTGCAGCTTGTTAAGGAGCAATAATAGGGCGTGGCCAGCAAGTAGCAGCAAGTGTCACCTAGGGAGCCCACAACATGCTGATGGATGTCTTTAAACATCCACTCTCTGCAGCAACACTGAACTCAGCGACACGCCGTCACTCACTCACACCTACACTGCTCGCTTTTCGCTATTCCTGCACTAAAAAGGGCTGCTGGCAGCAGAGGAGAAAAAAAACATGAAGGAGGAAGCAGTAGAGACAAAAGCACAAGTGAGAAAATGCTTACAAGGTGTAGGTTCTGCAGATCTACGGTGCTGCAAGCAAATACCTCCGTTTGCCTCCTCCCTTCCCCTCCCACTAAGGTAGAGTTACGCCTGCAATGCAGATCTCCCCCATAATCTGTCACCACTTTCCTTTCGTTGCCAGCAGAGGGAACACTAGGGTCAAGCTGTGTCACAGCAGAGCAGCTTACAGCTTCTGTCTCATACAAGTATGGATGTACTGGCATGAGATACCTTTGCACTGAAGGTCCAGGTTAAGAGACAGAGGATGTCTTTTAAGCATCTCTCGTCTTTTGTCGTCCAGCTGTCCACCCACGGTCGGCCTCCTTCTCTTCTGTTAAACAAAGAGGTACAAAGAAATAAAATGAGACAAAAAAGTGGGAGGTATCTGATGATGTCATTTATGAAACACAATCAAACAAGAATTTAGCCAAATGGGTTTAAAAGAAAACAATGAAGCTGTGATTAAACCACACATATAGAATAAGATAAAATATACAGATTTAACATAATCCCAGAGTGAACCATTTCAATGGGTTCTCCAACTTTTTTTTCCCTTTCAAAAGACAAGTTTGCAGAATCAAATGGCAGAGTTAGTGAGCACAATGGTGGAGCAGACGCACCATACAAGAAGGCTATAACATTATGACCAACTCCAGTATCAAAAAGCAGTGTCAGCATGCTGAACACGGCACAACATGCCTGAATAAAGCAGTCAGTTTATTAATAATAGGCAGAGCAGAAATAATTGTGCAGATGGATGAATGGAAAACCGGGAAGGAGGGATAAATAAGTACCGGCAGATGGATGATCGGCTAAAACTTAATGCTATGTGGGTGAGAATAAAAAATGGAAATAAACATCTTTCATAATCCACAATCTTCTTTAAGGCTTCCTTATACATGCAAAATGCTCAAATTATTATTCTCCCCCTCCCGACTTAAATGTATTTAATTCTCATTTTATTCTTATTTCACTAAAGGTTCCTCCTGGCAGCAGCCGCTGTGATGAGAAAAGCCAGCTTTTTTGTAGAGCTGAGGTTGCACGTCCCAGATGGACTCAGGTTACAGTCACCTCCCCGATCTAGGTAAATATTTCCCAGAATCCCCCACTCCCCTCCTGATCCACACATCGATCGATTGCCATTACTTTCTGATCCACCACACCACACCGTGTGGAAAGCAAAACTCTAACGATGGGGTGTGTGTTCAGCACAGAGACGAGTATATTTATAAAACTCCTGAACTCACTAACCTCTGTGTGTGTTTGTGTGTGTGTGTGTGTATCCTGGAGTAAAGACCTAAACTGAAACTCACTGTTTTCTCCTGCTCCTCCTCTGCATCTGAATCGCTCTCATCATCTGGGAACAGAAATTAAACATTTTAAATAACAATTATATAAAAAAAATCCAGCAAAATGGACAGATGTGACAACCCAAAGGTTTTTTTGTTTTTCAAAGCAGGCAGACTGCAATAGCGTACATATAGACAGGCATGCACCTTGAGAATCATCAGGAGGTTTGGAAAGAGCCCTGGCTTCGTCCACGTCACCACAGATGGACACACTCAGGTTCTTGTCTGAAGTATAAATAAAAACAACTCAGTTACCAGACAGAAGATTGTGATTTGTTAAACCCAAACTTTGCTCTTTATTCAAAGTAAATTCTGTTCGACTCACCACATGCTTCGCCGTAAGCATTTGCTTGAACAAAAAGTACGTAGAGCGGTGGAGGAAGGTGGCGAGCTATCTCTGCCTGCTTTTGGGTCTTTTCAAACGGCATGGACAGGTAGTCCTGCACTGGGAGAGACGCCTTTGGAGACAAAGCACAAGGGGGGTGATGTTCACTTCAGAGCAGTTCAAGCAGCTGAAAGCAAGACTAAAAACCAGTTAACTTTTTCAAATCAAACCCTCATTTTGGGCAATAGCATCAATAGAGAGATTGTGGTTCTCATTTACCTGCATGATGCCGTTGAGTCCCGGCTGAAGGCTTCTCAGATGCTCCTTCTTCACCTCAATGCTCTTCTGAATTTTCTCCTTCATAGATAGTGACTCCTTGTATTTCTCCGCCAACCTGAATTTAGAAATTAAGCATTCACCCAAATCTCTTTCTTCTCCAAGAACTTCTAAAAGCAGTGAGTGAAACCAACTGTGCTTCAAGTCGTTTACCTCTTCCTCTGTTCAAGCTCCCAGTCCAGCCTCGCCAGAGTGAGCTGGTGGAGATCATTTCTTGTGAGGTTAGGCCTGGAAATCTCCTCCGGAGCATCCTGGTAGAACTCCTCTTCACTCACCAAGTCAATTTCTTCATGCTTGGATCTGAAGCAGGATAGATAAAAATTATCAACGAGACAAAACACCGCATCTGAACATGTCAAATGAAACATGGACATCAGGAATGAAAAGTCAAAGATTTAAGAATTGCTTAAACTAGACATTGTTGTGTACATCTGTTTAAATAATAGCACAAAACCTTTAAGTAATAATCCCTTTTGTACAGGGCATTCTAAAGGCATTCATCTCCCTATAAGTTTCTATTAAATGAGTACTTTTACAAGAACAAACTTGAATGCATTACTGTATGTATTGTTATAGATCACTATGTAAAACACAAGTATAAAGTGGCAAGAAAATATAGTTTTCAATTTTTACAAATAACAAAAATGAAGAGTGTGGCTTACACCCATTCCATGAAAGCATCTTTTCACTAATGAACCTGTGTGTATTTTGTGGTACATCTGACACGCATTTGAGCACTAAGTGACTTTATTATTTTCGATTCTGTGCAAAATATATTCAGCTCAGTTGGTTTGTATATATTGAAACAAAAGCCAGAGATTCTTATTTGTTGGGCTTAGACTGAACCATTCCAACATCTCCTGGTTGTGGTTCAGATTACTGTCCTGCTGGGTGAGCCTCCATCCCCTTCTTAAGTTTTCTGTTAAAACCCCCAGAGGATTTTCCAACATTCATTCATCCATACTTAGTTCCAAATATCTAAGCACCAACTGACCATCTATTCCCAGTGCCTGCTGGGATGGGACCACTCCCCCTATACCAGCATGCAAATGTGTATCTTGGTCCCCATGACATTTGTTTTCCCAGTGTTGTCTAATAATCATCTAAAACTGGATTTATACTACGAATAAAATAAACAGAGGTGGACACTATAGATTTGATCACTTCTGCATGCAGCTAGTTGCACTTGATCAGTTGTATCAGGGTAAACGGAGCTGGATATGAATGTATGTCACACTTCTACCACTTCAAAACAATTATCACAAATAGAAACCAACTCTGAGGCTATAATATGACAAAAAGAAGCATTGTCTTAGAATCTAATATAGCGAGTTAAACCAGTGTCAGTGTTCATACAGTTTCCTAATAGAATTGCACTAACTTGAACTCCAGACACTTGCTGATCTCCTTCTGAAGATGCATGACTTCATAGAGCAGGTTCTGCAACTGAAGATGAAGCACATCCACCTTTTGTTTTGCCTGCAGACAGAAGCACAAATTCTAGGTGAGACTTTTCACCAAGAATTACCCAGGTGGGCCAAAAATAAAAATCAATACTTTATACTGGAAAATATGCCAAGACTGAACAGCAGTTTTTGGTGCAATTAAAGCTTAAAATGCTTAAATGTGAAATGTAGCTAATATCTGCATTCTAACACCGGCACACAAACTGTTTAGGCAGACTATGGCATCTACTGCAGTCAGATGTTACAAAGAAAAAAAGTGCTTAGTTCAACATTCCTTCAGTGATCAGCACAAAGGAAACTCGTATCAGCATTTTTTTGTGAATACATGCAATAGAACAACTTCATTTATTCTATGTTTTATGGATAACTCTGTAGATCTGTGGGTGGGTTACCTCATGGGTCTGGTCTCTTCCTTTCTTTAGCCTCATGTGAGCCAGGCGGTTGAGTTTTTTCAGGTTCATAAAGTGGATGCAGCCCTGCATGCGTCTCAGCTCCACCTCCGCATTCTGAAAAAAAAAAAAAAATAAATAATAAACTTGTTAGATATTCAAGGCCTTTGCAGAGCAAATACAGCAGCTACAAGAGAGAACCTACTATCTGCATCATTGCTTCAAGACAAGATTCCCTGAAGAACAACTACGTCCACAAAAATGCAGAAAAGTTTACATTTTAACATTAGTACAGCACTACCAAACTGTTTACGCTGGATTCTAACCATTTTTTTGGTTTTGATTTTGTCCAAGTTGGATTAGTTTAATTTTCCACCATATCTCAACTCCTCTCTGACTTATAACTTTCCCATAAAATTGCTGTCTTGTTGAAGAAAATCCCAAGTGATCTATGCAGTTCTGTTCACTTATACCTATTCTAACTGCAAAGGACATCTTTCAACCAGATTTGTTGTTAGACTCCAAATCAGCTCCCTAATACCAAACATATGGTCTAATTTGCCCTTTAAACTCTGTATAATAATGATAATAATAATAATTCAACTTTACTTGTCTCACATTGGAGACATTTACCTCTCTAACCCATCCCCTTGAGGAGCAGTGGGCTGCCACCGTGGGGCGCCCAGGGAGCAGTGTGGGGTTGAGAATGTTTGATCAGAGACCCAAAGTGGCAGTCTGTGGGAGTGGGGCTTGAACTCAGAACCTCAGGATTCCAAGCTCTATGCCCTAACCACTAGACCGCCACTCCCTTGTGGCGGCCTAGTGGTTAGGTATGTTTGGTATTGTATTTGCCTTTTGACACAAACCTGTAAATCTGACACCAAAGCAGCATCACAAGCATTGGTCTATCGTGGTATTCAAGCTTAAAACACATCTCAGTCCTATGGAAGTTACTCTAATTTTGGTTCTGTGAATTCCTGGATGAATTCCAGTCACAACAGTCACTCAGAACTCACTGAGAGGATGTACGTGACTTTAAAGGGCTGGTTATACTCCTGCAGCAGTGTGTCGCAGTGAGCTTGACGCAGACATTTTTGATTTATGCTCAACATTGAAGCGTGGTCTGCGCTATACGCTGTGGGTCTAGATACGGCCGAGGCGATGAGGAAGTGTGGGCGAGTTTAGTCCGACAACGGAGGGACATGACGGCGAAAAAGAGCGGAGATCCAGGTGGAAAAAGGGTCCCAGCGTTTTCGCGCACCTTGATCTTCTAGCTGGTCCAACTTTACGAGTTGTTTTCCGCAATTTCAGTCATAAAAACAAAACAGGCCGGCCTCCTGTCTGCGGTCAGTTACAATTTGGGAGAGGTGCAGCGGAGTGTCTGCGGAGTGATTGGGGATGGCTTTTCGTTCACTGCGACACCTACGCACTGTTAATATGGGCTACTAGTTGAAGGAGAAAAAGTAGCCTGTAGTGTATATTTTTATATATATAATACACTTGGTCTTTTATGTTGAATAGCAGATGTTAAGCTCTGAAAGTAGGGCTGGGCGATATAGAAAAAAAGCTTATCGATAAAAAAAAAAAAATGCATATTGATCGATATCGATAATTATTGAAAAGATTTGAAACCATATTTTATGTGCAGCTCTGCCTGGACATTTTATGATATTGCTAAATGATTTAATTTTAATAAAGAACACAAACACAGACTTCCAATTAAATCTTTATTTAACCAACTTTTTTAACCATAACAATTGTTTTAAAGAAAAATAACTTAAAAGACCTGAGTTATGTTATTAAATACTGACAAAGAATAAACTAAAGTGACCAGAAAAGTGACCAAAATAAATATAACAAATACATAAATGGACGCCGAAATTCCCGAAGATTCCAGAGGACAACGCAGACGCGCGCCGACACAGCTCATACTCCTGCGGGTGTGAGCGGCTGAGATGATAAAAAAAAAAAAAAAAAAAAAAAAAAAAAAAAAAAAAAAAAGGAAGTTGGTTGAGTTATCAGACTTCGTTTACACTGGTTCCCTACACATTTAACAGATGATTGTGGTTTGTTTTTTGTCCGACTTGCCATGACCGAAATACTGCCAAACGGGCAAACTACAAAAACCCTTCTTTGGAACAATTTCTTCCGCCTCTCCTTGCTGCGACATCTTCATGTGCTCTGTGTTGTGGTTTGAGAGGGCGGCGCTTTGTGACGGCGTGCCTGGGTCCGCGATTGCGATTGGTTGGGAGTGACTAGCATAAACCTACAGGATAGGCTACAATGAGAAGGAAGGAAAACTGCGTTTCTTTTAATCGAACTTTTATCGACCCGCTTTTTTTCTATTGCGCCACACGTCTATCGATCGATATATATCGTTATTGAATTATCGCCCAGCCCTATCTGAAAGGCATTGCTTTATACATAACTCTACTTTCCTAATTCTGATGTCAGCTATAGAAATGAAAGTGTAACTACTGTTAACTGCAAATGTCAAACTCGTATTTACATAAACACTAAGAGAGAGACAACTTCAAAAAATATTTTTTTATTTTCTCCTAATGACACTGGAAAGAGAACTGAATGTTCTTACCCCCTCCTTGGCTCCATTAGCCTTTAGCTCCTGGATCTCGCTCATGAGTTTGGCCAAACTATCACAGGACTCTTTGTACTGCTGGTAGTCGTACTCAGGGTCCCTGCCGTCCAGCTCCCCCTCCTCATTATAGGAACGCACATCCTGAATAGATGAAAACAAAAATAAGAATCCAAGTGCATTTAAAAGCTATCCCTCTTTTGTTGTTCTAATAATCAATGACAAATTCAGCGATAAACATTATCATTAGATATTGGTGATACTTAGAAATTAACCTAGTGACACTTATTAAAATATTCAGGGCACTCTGCTATCTAATAGTTAGTGTAATCGCCTATGGCTGAGATAACTTTCCATACACTTTCCAGTCTCTGATATCATTTACCCCTCTGCTCACTTTCAGCTGAGCAATGCTTCGGGGGTATTTTGCTTGTAAATATTAAGGTTTTGGATTTGACTTTGTACAAGCTTTTCTTTTTTTCTCTTTGCAGGGTCCCGTGCAAATTCAGCTTTAATAGTTTCACAGAATGTTCCACATTTTCCTAATGCATGCCGTGACACTCTGCAGAAGTCACTGTGGATTTTATGTAGGTAAGCCAGCTATGGCCTGCTTCTACAAACCATAACACCTCCAACTCTGTGCTTAAGAGAAAAACTGCTATTGTCTCTGACTGTGTAAAAATTAGTTGTTTTGCATTTCCCATCATTTGTAAACTGATTTTATCTTCTTTTGACAGTTAACAGAGCTACAGGCTGCCACAATCTTCTTTCTGGAGGCCTCAGGCAGCTTAAGGTTCACCATCATATTCACACTTCCTTAGTTTAAACATGATTAAACAGGGTCTTTAGAGTAACTATGTACTGATAACCTTCACCTAATGTAAAATGTCCAACGTATTTTCAAACATCTTTAGTAGGGGCAAATGTAAAGTGTTCTAATTTATTCCTTATTAGTTGCTGTATTTATATAATATTTTACTGAAAATAATAAAGAACATTTTTGGTATTTCATGCCTAATTAAAATAACTGCTCTTTATTCCTGAGCGTATGCTGACGGCTATAAAATACATTGAAAAGAATGAAGATAGTTTCCCAATGGAGGCTCTGTGGATCGGTGCCTACCTGATCTACCTCCCCCCGGCCTCGCTTCGTCTCTGGGTTTCCTCCTTCCCCGCGGATGACCTTTGACTTTCGCTTCTTTAAGGCATCAGTTGACATGGCTAACTGGGTGCAAATATAGCCACGTATTCTAGATAAAAGAAGAACAACATTAGAAATCCAAACTCAGTTACATACCCTATTAACATCGAGCTAATGTTAGCAACATAGCCAGTGGTAGCTAAGCGGCTAACAGCTTTCGAGCTAACAAAGGTCCAGACACGGGCTTTTGCCTAATGGGTATCATGCACACAAAGTTCGATATTATGGCTCAAAACTTTCACGTATCAGTTAAGTAAAGAAAATATAACATTTAATTCCTAATAGTGAATTAACATCAAAAAGTGTTTGAGATACCTTGCCACCCAAAACGTCGCTGTCGACGGAAGCCTTAACAAGTCAAAATCCAAACAGGATAAATAACGTTGGACTGCCACCTACTGGTCTCACGAGGTAATACATACACGAAATTTTCAAAGCAGGTCTTACTTGTTTAAATATACCGTAAATATCTATATCAGTATCAAACATGAAATCAAAATACATTGAAAGAAAATCATATTTCACTTTCACAAATGAGTGTTAATGCAGACTTGAAACTCCCTGGGCAAATAAAGCTTTTGCATATTTATTTCTTGAATTATTGGATCAGAAGCAACAGAAGTTGCAACATTGATAGATCAGAGCTTCAATGTTCATCTTGTATCTCTGCTTCTGCCTTCTCAAACCCCCAGTCCCCCTCAGCAGAAAGGCTCTCATGCTGAGTTTTTTTCCTGTTAAAAGGGCATTTCCTTTCCACGGTCACTGCATGCATTACAGACTGACAGATTACCGTAGTCAATGACGCAATGCAAGTGAATGTATACCTTAACTACATGCCCATCCATGAGGAACAATTCATGCAGTCAGTGACTCAATGCAATCAGCAGAGTTTTGATAGAGAAGTTCTGAGTTGGGGCTATATCATTAAAATGAATTGATATTAAACAGCAGGGGTTGTTTACTGTACAACTTGCTTTTGTCTGTATCTCTGCTACAATATGGTCTCCAAGAGTGGTGCTCTAATGTGACTGTCTTTACAGTTTCATTTTAGTTTAAGATAGAATACATGACATTATTCATAGTTCAAGCTCACCAAAGCAGTCTATATCCTATCCATATTGTTGGTTCCTATTTACAGACGTCCCAAAATGTAATCCTTCCTAGTGTTGCGGAGAGTTAGATGCTCAGTTGTTTATGAAGTCACTGCGTTCGTTTTGTAGAGAAACGAAAATAACAATACAGAAAAAAAACTAATAAAATTCTCTGCGAGTTTGTATTTACTCAAAATGTTGTCCCCTTTTTAAGTTCACTGGACATTTATAATGTCAGCAACTTCTTTTTAACCACATTTTCAGAATAAACAGAAAAATGAATGCCATGCATTTAAAGATCTTTTATTCAGTTTGACATTTTAAAAGTTAGAATAAGACATGACTAATCACCAATGTACTAAAGTAAACAAAAAAAAACTGTTGCTTTACTTTGTACATGTACATCGAATAATTGAAATTCACTTTGCCATATCGATTAAACTCTGCAAAGATGTGGGAACCCAAGTCTTCTCCCCCTGTACGAACACAACCCCCCGATCTACGTAGATCACAATACGCCCAAAGGTGTAGAGCTGTTTCCCCTCATATCGTTTTCCCACTAAGGGCATGAAGACGATGTTGTTCTCCTCTGCTTTGGTCTGAATGAGATCTTTAAAGTTCATGGGCACACCAGTACTGATGCCTCTATGAGCCACGCTCTCAGCATCCCTGCGCTCCTGAAGTGCTTCGTACTGGAAGTCCTTCCGTCTCTCCGTCTGTGTGAGGTATGCGATGTTCTCTCTAGCGCCAGGTTGCATGTATCCCCCTATGGGTTTTATTTATAAAGTGGGAAAACAAGATTAGATTGTACGTTTCAATGTTTTTTGCCCTTTATTCCATATTTTAAATGAGTACAGATACAAACCCATGCCTGAAGACACTGCTCGGTTCATGATGTCCAAAGCTTCGTTGAATTTTTCCTTAACAAGCGGCTGTGCCAGCAGAACATCACTGAACATGCTTTTCCAGCCGAGGTACCACTTGGTGATTTCTTCGTAATTTGGACTGTTGCTCAGCCAGGAACACAGTACCTTAAACAAAAACACACAAAAAATTGAAATAATTGTAGAGAGGCCTTCCTGGCTTGAATTTGACTTTTTTTTGATAGAAAAAAGTAAAATTAAAGCATGATTAGCAGTTTCAATATTGATTGCTAACGTCAAAGTCTGAACATGAGACAGTTTTTAATTAAACAGAATTAATGCACATTTTTTTTTTTTAAAACTGAGTGTAAAAAGTAATATCTACTCATGATACTAAATTGAAAGTTTGCAGATATTTTTGGAAATTAAAACTTCTTAGTTATTACTATAAAATGTATAACAACAAAAAAATGGTTGACATCAAGTGTCCCTCCTATTAGCCCTAATCTATCCCAGTCCTTTGTAGGGTTGCACCGATTGAATGATCGGCCTCAATTTCCTTTACTTAGGGATTTACTTAGGATATGATTTTTTCTATCTCTGTAAATGTTTGAAAATCACCCACTGTCAATATCCTAAACTTAGATTTATATATACGAGAGCAGATACTGGAGTTCTTATAGTTTGACAGGTAATTGATGAACCTCTTAAAATCCACCTCATTTTGGGAAATCCTCGCCTATTTTCCATACCCAAATGGAAAAGAAAATAACTTAGGAAATGTAAGGCCAAATTACATGTGTGATACATTATTTGAAAGCTAATACCTTCTAGTTTCTGGATATATACACAAATATCGAGTGAGTAAAACACAGAGCAAGCTGCATCAGTTCAAACATGGCTCAAAGTTGTTGTTTTTTATTCTTGAAAATAATAGGTTTTTTTTTAACAGCAGTAATGAAGACATGCTTGCTTGTTGTGGCTGCTTTGTCATGTTTACATTTTGACATGCTGCTATATCTGTGTTAACTGTGCTTTGGTGCTCACTGTGTCCATAAAATGAACATAAATTGGTAACATTTTAGCTCTGTAATTTTCATGCATTCTGGGTTCTTATTTGTAAACGCTTTAAAACGGGTCGGCGACCTGGTGGGTTTTAAGAGGTTAATTTCTTTACGTAAGATAAGATTGAAATATGAAAGAACATCTGTATCGGTACTCTTGGCACTCTGTTGCATAAGAAATGTCTTAATAACCATTTGACTCTGCAGGATACAGAACTGTTCTGAGGTGTTTTTTGTTGTAAAACATAGGACAACCAAACTGAAACAAAGACGGGGAATAGTGAGGCTCTTCTGTTGATTGAAGCAAATAGATCAAGGCTGGTTCCAAACTTTCTTTCGCCAGCATTTTTTTTTTCCTCTTCAATGAAATTAAGCAATATAACTTAGGACCATCTTATATCTTATGTACATCTTCCCTTTGAATCTCAAAGAGTAAGGTCAAGAATTCCTCAATCTAATTTAAAGATTCTAAGAATGATTTTTTTTTCTTTGATAAACATGGATGTAATTTAAAAGTTAGTTTTTTCACTAACCTGCAACCATTTTGAAAAGAAGTTTTTCTCCAAGAGCGAAAAAAGGCTGGAGGGAGACAGCATGCCCTCCCAGTCCATCACCCAGTGAAATGGCTCCATCTGCTGCTGGTGGGGGTTGATCACCAGTTCTTCCAGACACAAGGCTTCACAAGTACACAAAGGAAAGACTAGCATTAATAAGGATGGAAACAATAATTGCTATATAGAGACCTGGGAAGTAAAGGCCAGGGTTGAACATTTAGCCAAAAATCTAAATAGTGATCATTTTCAAACAATAATGCGACTGCGATTTCATTGCAATAATCTTTTGCACTAAGCATAAAGATTGTCGACGTTTTACGCACGGGATTTAGTTTTTTATTATTTTGAAATCCTGCTTTTCCATAATCCAGTGTTGTAGGACTTTAGCGGTAAACTTGCAAAAACAAGTTCTTTCTTCAACTACATTGCATTAATCTAGGTGCTAACTGCAATTCTGGCCTTCCTTCAATGTGGCAGCATACCCACTTTAATCGTATTACTGGCACCTAAAGGGCTGGAGGGAAATTTTTAACATCTTACCCTTGTCAAATGTATTGTGATTAAAAATTAGGATTCCCTGCGATTTGAAAATCACATTTTTCTAAATTGCGATTATATTCCAAATGCAATTAATTGCCCAGCCCAAGTAAAGGCCCTTCCATGGATGAGTGAAGACATACCCAGTTTAGGGATGATGTTTTTCACCATGAAGGCCTCCCATGCGCCAGCTGTAAAAACATTCTTCCATGGCTGAAGGATGAGGCGGGCTGAAGCGTCACTCGGATGCCACCGCTGCAAAGCGTTGGACAGCTTGCTCCTGATCGGCGGGTAAAGAGGTTCCAGCCGGGCTTGCAGCAAAGGCAGCCAAGGGTGGATCCAGGAGTGGATGGGAACGGTGTCAGTTAAAGGGTTCCAGTTATCAACCTGTTAAAAAAAAAAAAAACAAGAAGACTTGACATTAAATATCATCAGATTTTATAAAAAAAAAAAAAAAAAAACATCCAAGATGGTCTTCATCTTGCCTCTCGCTGTAGTCGGGGTAAGATCATCTGCTCCAGCAACTGATCAAGGATCCATGGAGGTAGAAGAGGGGCCCACAAATCCACACAGTCCACCATCGGCCCCACTATTCGAGGCTGCCAGTTTGACACACAGCACCGCATCACTGGGATCCACACTTCCCATAGCAATCTGGATAAATAAATGAACAAAAGGTATTTACACACACAAGTCGCTAAAGCATGTAGCAGCAGTAAGACGTTTCCACCCGGTCTGATGGAAATCACCTGTGGTATGGATCCATGTTTGAATGTGGACCGCTGGGGTGCATGTCTCTGGATTCAAGAATTGCCCTCCACTGGCCGATATCTTCCAAACAGTACGAACTGTCCTGAAAAAAAAAAAATATATAAAAAAATCGAATTAGTTGGCACGGCTTCCAAAATCGATAATTCTCTACCTTCATCACCTAAGAAGAGTGTAAAGGGAAAAACCTTCAGAGGATCCCATGAGGAGAGCTTCTCTTTCAGTAATGGATGCACAACAGCGACAGCCAGGTCCCCCAATCCCATCGTCTTGTATTCTTCATAATAATCTGTCTGCAGGGTCTCGAATATCCGGGCACACTCCTGAAAAAATCATTTGAAAAGGGTTGAAAACAGGGATTCACGAAATGTTATTATGATCAATCAGTATCAGTCCAATAAGGAAAGCCGCTTTCCCCATCTTGTTGTGGTTTGTGTATATGGGGTTGGCAATTTGGCATACTGGAATGTCACGCAGCGTGAGGGCTGTCTTTCTTTAACCAAATCAGAGAGGAAATGTCAGCGGTGTGATCATCTTCTCATGGTTTTAAGATGGTAGGAAGAACATAAAAAATATAAAAAGTAAATTGTGATTATTGACTTATATTAATATGATATATGGCATCAAGCTTAATTTTCCTATCAGTGAATGCCTAGTTGGAGCTCTTAAACTCAAACTGCCCAACGATAGAGGCTCTGAGAGAATAATCATGGTATAAACCTGTAGGGATGGCTCTTCGCCTGGTGGCGTTTCCTCCGTAGGAAATCGCTCCACTAAGGCCAGCACGGCCTCCATTCTTTGGATGGCATCCTGCTCCATTGACAGTCGGTTTTGCAATGCCTGCGACTCGTGCCTCAGAGTAACAACCACATCTTTTTCATGCTGCAAGCGCCTGGCAGACTATAAAACATGCATGGGGAAAACAAATCAAGCTCCCAAAACAATGCGGAGGCTGTTTAATCTGAGTTTTATGAAGACCCATTGTTTCATCATTTCCCCTCACCTGTAAGATGTCCTGCTCTGTGAGGTCTATAAGAAGCTGCAGGTTGTGCTCCAGCTCAGGGAGGGCAAAGCCAGTACCTTTCTGATCTCGGGTGGCCAGGCTCGGCGGGGCTTCATCCGGAACGCTGTGTTTGTTTGATATCTGACTGTAACTGTAGTAAACCTTCTGCTCTCGCCCAGTCATATCTATGACCTAAGCCAGGAGAAAGGTGTGGGAAAATTACATTTAAAAGGCTAAAATAGTATGTTTCAATACAAAACACAAGTATGCATGTGGCCTTGTATAGTTTATTCAACATCACTATGTGAGAGCCATAACTCTGAGTAGGAGTTAATTTTGGAAGCTGAAACAAACCTTGACTTGTGCCAGTTCTCCCGCTGAGGCTGGTGTGCTCCGATAGGCCACTTTACCTTTAGCTTTCAGCTCATCTATAGTTTTGTAGGAATACTTTGGTTTCTTCTTTGCTGCAGTCCCAGCAGGATCCTTCCGCCACTGGCCTAATTCCTTTTTAAATTCCTACGAAAAGCGACAAAAAAAAATAAAGAAGCTTTACAGTCTCATGATACTGGTAATAAAAACAACAGAAGATAGAATTTAACGGGTGTGAATGGTGATTTCACCATGGTGACATGCAACATATGTAATATACCTTTTCCTCCTCTTCTTCTGAGTCAACCACGGGAAAGTCCTGAAGACTCTGCGTAGTTCGCTCATTGCCATATGCACCCACTGCTCCTTTACCCTTACGAACCTTTGCTTCAATGGGGTTCACGATGCCTGCAACAACACAGGACTTTATATTAAAGTTTCTTAGATAAATCCCCTCAGGATTATATCCTTGTGATTTCTACCTACCTTGAGCATTTTTCCCCAAGCCTTTTCCTGGCTGGTATCCCATTTTCTGCAAAAGTTTTTGTCCAATCCCCTTGGTGTGCTTCTCCCAGGTGCCGATGCCTTTACCAGACTGTATGCCACCTGCAAACCTCTGGGACTGATTTCCTCCAAAATTTGACTGGATAAAAATATTTTTTTAAAGGTTATGTAACTCTTTTTTGCTGTGGTTTTTTGTTTAGGAACTTGAAAAAAATGTAGACAGGAAAATAATTCACCATCTGAAGTTTTCTGGGAGCTGCTGTGCGTGGAGGAGGAGGAGCCGCCGGAGGAGCATCATCATCAGATTCATCAGAACCTACTTCTTGTTGTTGCTGTTTTTCCTCAGCTGCAGTTTTTCGCAGACCAGCGCTCACAAAGCTGACAGGGGTGGTGTAGTCTTTAGACCTGGGGGGAAAAAGCAACAACCATTATTAAACGTTTAAGATTGCCAATAATCCCCCACATTTCTTCCAGTCACAACCATAGACATCTAAAGAATTAACAGCGGTTTTATACACCAACATAAAGGTGCAAACATTTATGAGATGGGAAGAGAATAACCCTAGTGGAACAAATTAAAAAGTCACTGATTCTTTTAGCTATCAGAAAACTGCAGATGCATCAAATCTACCTCTTGCCACCAAAGCTAGGTCTCTCATCCTCATCGGAATCCCTGTCAGCCCAGATGCCATAGGTGGCCTGCTCCTTGGTTTGCTTGAACCTGCGGCGGTCTGGGTTGAACTCATTGGCCAAATCCCAGTCAGTCACCTCAAAGCTCTCCAACTCCACTCCTTCTGCCTCCTCCTCCTCCCCCCTCCTTCCGTAAAGGTGAGACATTGACATCTACATTTTGGGATAAAAAATAGGAATGTGTGTCAAAAAGACATTCTTTTCTTGCAGTGCAATCGTTTACAGAAGAGAGAAAAATAAGATTCTAAGTAAAATAGAGCAAAATAAAATATAATATACTAAAATAAAAACAAATAAGTAAAATTACACCCTTTTACACCCTATAAACAGTGTAAAATCAGATTTATGAAAAAAATAAGGATAAGAATAAATAAGATTACATTATATAGACCAAGAGTATTTACAATTTACAATGCTGCTCCAAAATGACTATTATTGTACATGACCATGTTATTGCGCATAGTGAAGAAATGAAATAAGTAAATAATTAATGAAATGGTATGAATTATACAGTTTGCGGCCAGGAATGACTTCCTGTGGCGCTCTGAGCCCTAAAACTGAGAACTTGGGAGAAAAACTATTTAAAATTTCTGCTTTGCGATAAGGATGGAAACAAACAATGTTTTATAATGAGTACATTTATTAACAGAAAGACAAATAAGTGTCAGTAAAACTGACAAGCGGTATTGTTGCTACTTGGCGATCACAAGTGAAGCTAAAATTAACTAGCAAAAGCTAATCTATGCGTCTGGACGTTACGTTTTATAACCGGATAACGTTAAATTATTTGCTTTACCGTACTCACCTTAAATTATTTTTAATTATTGTCCTTGTCCGAGATGAGTAACAGACATTTTTTTTTGAAAATAGCAAATAGGAACACTTCAGCTAACAAAAACGTTCGTTTCAGTAAATCCAAGTACTTCCGGTTCACTGGTGTTACACCAATTAGTGCAGACAACAAACGTAATTGGAGTAGCTAAAGGTTAGAATTTATATGTATATATATATATATATATATATACATATATATGCAATTTTATCAACACTTAGATAATGCAGTGTGTCTTAACTGCCATCATCCAGTTCTATTTGATTATTTTATTACATTCTCCAAAAATTTGTTATTTTTATTTTTTTTTATTTTATTTATGAATGTAAATATAAACATACAAGGCATACAATAAATTCACACTTGTGTTTTTTTTTTTTTTTACATGGATTGAGCATGTTCAACATAAAAAAAGTATGAAACTAATCCAACAGGATTGTAAACTAAAATAAGATGAAAATAAAAACATAAATTTCACAGGGCCATTTCAAATTAATTTAAATCCCTCGAGTAAAGAAAATAATTGAAGGGCTTTCTTTTCTTCTACAAGTCTAAGAGATTTACTGAAAAGATTCAGCTCATTTCTCCAATGAGTCATACAAGGTTTGGTCTTAAAATATCTGCACTTGTGAATGAAGAACTTTCCAAATAACAAAAGAGTGTTGAGTATGAAGTCTACATTCTTATTTTCAACAAAAACACCAAAAAAATAGACTTCAAAGACAAAGGCAATATAATTTCTTTGGATAGTAGCCAGCTTTGCATCTCTTCCCAAAAAAGCTGCACAGCATTACAATAAAAAAAGAGATGTTCTAAAGTTTCCACATTCTCTTCACAAAAAACGCAGTTATTCCGATCAATATTAAATCTTAATCTCAGATATTCGTTCACTGGGTAGATTTCATTAAAAATTTTGAAGTTGACCTCTTTCACTTTAGGTGGGAGAGGAAATGTAACATAGTTTTTTCTTATTTTCTTAATTTTTTCTATTTCAAACTCCTTCAGTGTGTACATTCTTTTAACTGGGTTAGGATAATATTCTTTTATTAAAGCATTCCTATTAACCTTGCTGGTGCATTTGAAATCACAGAAGTTTGATCCATCAATGTAAAGCTGTCTCAGTTCAGGGGAGACTGCAGAGTATCGAGTATCTTCTCTAACCATTGATATCACAGAAACTGGTATGGCTTTTAAAACTCTCTTATAATATTTAGCATTACAGTGAAGTTGGAATTTACATTCTCCAAAAATGATTTAGCACTTTTCTGTTCAGAAATGAAGCTATGTTTTCGTTCATAAGTTAGGCAGTTATTTAGTATCCAAGCACATTTATATATGAGCATCTGATCCTGTCAATGGAAGTGTGTTGCAATATTCTATTACCTGCAGGAATTTGGTAATGTTTAATTTTTAAGTAGAATCTATTTTATAATCATGTTATTTATCTAAACTCTCACATCTAACCACCAGAACCTGCACATAAAAAAATGCATAGCATTTTTGCAAATTAAGTCAAATCAAGCAGATCTAAATACCTTTAGCAAATTACTTTTTGGAATCTTATTTGAGAAAATTCTGGGTAACTTCTTTTCACTTACACTCCAATAAAAATACAATGAAATATCACGTGACCCCGGAAGAAGAACTGTGTGTTGCTCTCAAAATCTTCCCCCTTGGAAATACCTTTTCAGCACACATCTGCTAACAAGATAAATGTTCATTAAAATCCCGTTTATGTGTGCCTTGTAGTCTAAATTTAAATGTCGGATTTAGTAGAAGAGTGGAGGGTCGTTCGACGGGGAAAAGGGGCATCAAGACAATTTAAATCTAAAAAAAAAAGTCCGTCCTCCGCTGCATGTCTTGAGGAACAGCTGGATGTGGAGAAACTGATCAGACGGATCAAAGACACGGTGTAAGAAATTAAGCTCAACCGCAATCCAGTAAATACAGTAAATATCCCACAGAATACATGAAATCAGACCAAAACCAAGCTTAGTTTTTAAGCCCAGCTTAGTCCCCTTTACACACATTTAACTCTGATTTTATTTTGTCTCCTTTAGTTCCGAGCTAAGCGCTGAGGAGGTTTGGAAGCAGTGGAAAGGTGAGTTTGGTCTCCATCTAAATATTTACATGGCCACAGAACCCTTGAACCTTTTCATGTTTTATCTCACAAAACCATAAACCTGTAGGGGACTTGTAGAGTATGTAATGCAAAATCTGAAGTAGTAGTAGATTATTATGATAAATGTATTTATGATAAATTAACAAACCCTATAACGCCACAATTTAATGTGAAATAATTTATTGTGTATAGCTTCTCCAGCAGGGCTCTATAGCTTTGCTTATGAAGGAACTTCCTTGCAGCTTTTTATCATATTTTGTCATATTTTATCTCTAGATCAGCTTCTACTGACAACTTCATCACCTGATTGGAGACCTTCAGGCAACAGTGAGACAGATGGCAATCATTACAAGAATGCAGAGGGAAGGACAGCACGCCAACATGTGGAGTGTGTGTGTTATGGCCTTGGCACCTTTTCTTCTTGTGTCTCAGCCCGCTACCAACTTGCCATGTTGCTGCTGCTGCTGGATGCAGGACGGGTGAGGGAGTCAGCTTCTTCCTTTGTTATGTCTAACATTTTAGATCCAGTATTTGATTTCAGTATTCATACCTTTCCTTTTGTAGATTCCCCTGAAGGATTGCTCTGTTTACGATCCTGCATTCTCCTCTGCAGAAAGGGACGTATTGAGAGGGCTAGGTTTGACCGTACTCACAGAAAATGAGGTAAGTTGTTGACAGCCGATGTGTTTTGATCATTCAGGTTTGTGATACAATGTTAGATGGGCGTTTAAGATTACTGCATTGCCTTCTAATACGTAAAGTGGATCCAGTATGTTACAGTTTCACTATCAAATCAAAACTTTTTAGATTTTTTAGTTTATTTAGCTTGTAATTTTTTTGTTAGACAAGATTTTTTTACAGTATTAAACTGCTGCTTAATTAATGAATCCCTTAGTAGAAAAAAAACGCATCTTAATTTTGTTATGCTGTGAAGGAGGGGAAGCGCCTGGCCACCAAGCCTACCCTCTTTTATCTAATGCACTGTGGAAAAGCCCTATACAACAACCTGCTTTGGAAGAACTGGAGCCCACGCTGTTTGCCACTGGTAACAATCATCGGAAATTGCTTCAGCGGAATCAGGGAGAGGTTTGTACAAGGAATGAATGAAATTAGATGGTTTGGAAATGGTGGCTGAGGTGATGTTCTCTATCCTATTACATCCAGGACCATTGAGAGGGAAATGAGGCAGGATTACAACTACATCAGCAAAGCTGTGGATTGGTGTGAAGAGAGACTGCTGCCGTGTCCTACCCGACTGATAGACGTGTTCAGTGATACAGCAGTTATCACTTTTCCTTCAGACCGATTGAACAAACTTCCACAGTCTACTTGGACAGAGTCACCGGAACCGCAGTACCACCATTGTTCAGATTTAGAGATTATTCTGAAACAAAAATCCATCTCAGACGCTCCAGAGACAGAGGATAGATGACAACAGATGTATTTTCACATATAACATTGATGTAATTTTGTTTTATGCCCAATTCCACAGATCTGAATCACAGTGACTTTTATTCTGTGGCTTATTGGATAAAAGAACAGTATTTATTACTCTCTTTCAATCTGATTTAACATAGGCTGTGTTAACTCGATCAATGTCTGCTTTGAAGTTTTTCTTCCCTGTTTATCATTATGTTACTTAGAAGGCGTGGTATCAAACAACACTTCTATACTGTGAAGTTCTGACAGTTGACATTTTCTGCAGAAGCTGACTTAAAAGAAGGTGGTGCCTACATATCAGAGCTGTAGAACCTAAATTTTGGTTTATAACATACATTTTAGCATCATTCTCACTAAGAAGGACCCAATAAACTAGACCATCTAACCCAACTGAAGACAATGTTGGTTCCATAGCTGTTATCTTCAGCAAATGTTGCAAAATGAAATGGTTGTTAGGCATGTATCCAGACTGGTAAATATATACCATGTTGTGTGAAACAGCATCACTCTATAACACCCAACTGGACCAAAATAAATATTTTTTTTTAACTTTTAAGATAAGCCGGGGGTTGTGGTCTAATAAACTACATAGATGATGATTTTAATTTTTTCAGTTGCTGAGTATTTTTTTTGCTGGAAGATGTCATTAAAAGAGACCCAAATAGTGCAACTCCGAGATTTGATTTGTTTATAAAATCTGTTAGAAAATGGCTTTTGTTTTCTATTTCATACAACAGTACTACAATGGCTTTTGTTCACATTTAGCTGTTTTGTCATATTGCCTTTAGTCAGAAAAAAAGAATCAATAAACAAGTTATGTTATGAATAGAAAAGTTTATTACAGCAGACTGAAAAACTTTGTCTAAAAGAATGCAGACAAAAAAAATGCAAGTTTCTTAGATCATCTGCGACAGTGAAACATCTCAAACATGAAGAAATACTCGACGTCTTTCTTAATACTACCTCCCCATTGTTTTGATCAAGTTACAATCTAAATCCAATGATGGGTTCCTCTTACAGCAGGCTCTTTGAAAACTCGCCCCCACAGGCTTGGTGTGTTTTTACTCTTCAGCTGCTCCATTGGCAGTGACACTGTTGACTCCATTTACTGCCTTGCTTCCTGCCCCGTTGTTGGATTTTGAAACAACATCTGCCCAGGTCAGTTTACTATTAAGGGCTGAAGGGCTGGGAACTGTGTCGATGTCCTTGTCGATTGTGCCATTTTTCACCCCCGAGGCAGACTGGATCTCCCCTTCATCCACTGCCTGGACCACAGCTTCTGTAACTCCTCTGTCAGCATCTACATCAACTTTCCTGGCCTGTTTGTGTGGATCAGTTGGCTCCACCACGTGACCGTTAGCTAAGACGCCTGCATCGCTCTTAGCAGACGTGTCCTCCAGCGGCTGCTGCTGGCCCTCACAGTCTTTCTTCCCTTCTTTGTTTCCTTCGTCCCCAGATTCCTTCCCAACTCCACTCTCTTTTACTGAGCTTTTCTCTTCTCTGTTAACAAGATGCGAGTTAAGAGGCCAGATTGGGAGCTTGAATCCCAGTTCCTTTGCTGCTGCAGCCTTTCTTTCCAGGTGTTTCTGCTTATACTCCTGGAATCTGTCACTATAAAGACAGGAAGTTTAAAAAAAAATTGGTATCTCTTATTTTTAAATATTTATAACATAAACTATTGCTTTTAAAGATTATGATCATAATGCACCCGTTATTTAAATAGAAACAAACTATGTAATACTTTTCATATATCTGGCTCACATCTAAGGGGAAACATTTTGAGTTTGAGTTAGACGTCAAAAGCATCTTTTTCTATTGTGTTACTGTTTATTTAAATTCAGCTTAATTTATTTAAATAGTACCAATTCACAACACATGTTCTCTCCAGGCACTTGGCAGCATCATTTCAACCAAATATGACAGATTAATTCAAAGTTTCTACTAAGAAAAACCCTGCTGATTGCATTGAGTTATTGTCTTTGCATCATGCATTTGTCCTGAATGAGCATGTGGCTTCAGCTGACATTTGCTTGACTTCCCATGCATTCTGGTTGTGAGCAATCCTCACAGCCAGGATGCATGTAGCTACAGTATAGAGGAGAGGAAAAACTCCCTTCTAACAGGGAGGAAACCTCCAGCAGAACCAGGCTGAGTGGAAGCAACCTTTCGCCATGATGGAAAGCGTCCTTTTAAGTGTTGTTGATCTCATGTTGTAGTATATCTGCGTAGCCCTGATTGAACACCTTATGGTGTTTTTATGAAATTCTCAAATTCAGTTCTCCGACATTTGGTGAAAAAAATATATTGTCCCCTTAAAGCTTGTTTCAGTTTTATTTTCCTAAATATTGACCTTCAACTTAATTGTAATATCAAACACATAGTAGCAGAGTAAGTACAAAAATAAAGTGGATAATGTATGATATCACTGGAAAGAAGCAATCCAACCCAATCTGGCTATTTAGGAGAGGACCGTTATCCCCTAAACCAAATACCTGCTTGTGCAGCAGGTTCTTAATTCTATGAGTCTGGGAGTATTTAGGGTTTTGTTACAGGAGGTAAAACAGAACCAAATCTGTGGTTAGTTACACTTAATTACTAAAGGAGATAAAATAACTTTCCCCATAAAGTAAAAAAAAAATCCTCCCCTTAAAACCACTTTTTATATTTAGGTAATCTATGCATGATATTCAAATTTGTTTTAGAATTTAAAAACATTTAATGAATGACAAAAACAAACAAAGAAAACAAATGAAACAAATATTTAAGCGAATAACTTTTACATTAGTCTATAAATCCGGAAATGTTTATCCTGTATCCCTGTACTCTTTCCTTTTTCCTCACCTCGTGTTTCCTCTTAATGATTAGGGAATATCTTGTTATTGAATAAAACTCTATTTTTGGCCAGTTAATAATTTTTTATGTGTAATTTCTGATTTTAAACCATCCAGTCTCATTGAAATTTGTAAAGTTTTACCTTCTTGTGATCCTCCTGATCCCTGTAATCAGAACCATCTGCTCCAGAATAGTTTCAGATGTTGGGCTCAGACACTGAAACGAAAAACAACAATCTGAACGTGTTTTTACAGCTTCTATAAACAGATGTACTCATGCTCTGATGCTTACCTCCACAGTTTGATCAGCAGAGTCACTTCCTGCCTGTCTGAGAGTTCGTTCTACTTTGACTGCCTGCTTGGTTATGGTTCCCAGGAACTCTTTGCTGCAGCTTGTTTGTTGGTGATCTTCTCCGAACTAGAGGAGGAATTTAGGGTCAGCAGACATGCACAAAAAAAAAAGATCTTTATTCAGTCGGCAACAAACCAAGGCTGTAAAGGCAGAGAGGGCTTCTTTCTCATGGGTCATGGCACTTCTGTAGTCTCCTTTACTGCACATCCACTGGGCCAACAGGTGGTGGCTGCACAGAAAAAAAAAGGAGGGTTACTTAAGCTTTATAAAAGACAAACAAATTACAGTAAACATGCAATACAGAAATGTTTCCGGTGTGAGCTATAAATGACATCCTACCTGAGGGCAGTATGCATATTTGTGGCGCCGAAAAAGGAAGTGTTAAGTTTCAGGGCATTTTTCAGAAACTGTCCTGTTTGGTCTTCTGTCAGCACCAGGCCGAGGCAGCTCTACAATATACAAGAGGAAAACATGAACTATTAGCAAAACCTTTACTTCCTCCATTTATTACTTTACTGCTTCTACTCACATCCAATGTTGCAGTGTACGGATGGTCTTCTCCATGGACTGTCAGCATTAGGAGCCGGGCTCTGAGAAGACATTTCTGAGCCAGGGTCGTCTCCCCTCCAGCATATGCATAAACAGCTAGCAGAGCCTATAAATCCCACAAAAATGATGATGATCATAATTTGGACAGCTAGAACCAATAAACCATCATATCTATACATGAGTTGTACTCACGTATTGCTGTATGGTGTTTGGATGGTCAAAACCAAGCACCCTCTCACTGATAACCACCGATTTCAACTGAACACTGCGAGCCTTCAGGACAGAGAAGGTCAACATTTAGTTTTTAGTGTAATTAACACTCTTGAAATACATCTGCTGTGTCATAGCATGTAATAGATGAATAAACAGGTAAGTCTATGGAGTGGCAAAATATATATAAACTTTGAACCTTTTGCCACTTTGTCAAATTACAACCAAAGCATTTGATCTACTTTATTTTTATGTATATTATTAAATAACTTAGTGTAGTGTGTTATTGTGCATTAAAAGGAACAGCAATAAAAAAAAAATTTTTTTTTGCAAACAAAAGATGTCAGCACTGAAGTTAATTTGTATTCAGACTTTCTGAGTCAAGACTTAGCAGAGGCAATTTTCATTGCAACTAAACCCACCAATTTTTAGGACTGTAGGGCTTTTTAAGGATCAGAAAATATGAGATGTGAACATTAATTTGTACAGTCTTGCTATTGATTGAGCTGTTAATCTCTGCACCTCCTTCAGAGTGACCTTCGGGCTCTTGGCTGCCTTTTGGTTGATTCTCTGTGAGGCCTTCCATTTAGTGTTGACAGCCATCTTTTGCTGGGTTTGCATATTTCCACAGTTTAAAGGAATTTATTTTGAGATAATTGATAGCACACTTATCTGTCAGATATCAAAAATTTTGTTTGGGACTTAACTTTTCTATACTCATCTCCACAGCCTTATCCCTGACCTCTGTTGTGTTCCTTGGTCTTTGTGATTCTTTCCAATTTTTGCTAATAAACCTCTGAAACCTTGGACTAGGACTTGTAAAATATATATATATATATATATAAAAAAAAAAAAACAATCTGCCATTTTAAGTTTATCTGAAATAATCACTACTTTGTGTTGGTCCATCACATGAAATGCCAAAAAGACAGGTTGATGTGGCTTTTATGTGCCACAAGGTAAAAATATTTTGCAGCTGGTTAGAAAACCTTTATTAAGGCAAAAAGTAATGTTACGCTGATTAGACAAAGTTATGTTTAAATGGAGAATGCAAATGAAATACCTGTAACATGCAATCAGAAGCAGAAATGTTGCAGTGTTGTCAGCCTACCTCAGCTGCTTTCCCCCGCAGGTAGGTCACTTTGGCCAAAAGGCTGTTGCAGTAACACGCCTCAGGGTCCAGATCATCACACACCCGGCCGTACAGATAAGCTGCTTCCTTCAACTGTTCGTGGGCCTGATCTAGCAGGCCTGCATGCCAGAACAGGGCAAAATGGAAACATTTTTTAAAAGCATCTGTTGGACATATACATTCATTAGTGTTAGTTTTTTTTTTTCTTGTAAACATACCCTTTTGAATGTAATTCTGTGCAGCACGGAAAGCTCTAGATGCATCCACAGCCGGTGTGTTGATGTGTTTAACCACAGGGAAGATGTTAAGGATGTCGTCTGGACTCATGGGAGCTTTATTCTGGCTGTCTAGGATGTAGTCCCTGAGTCTTAACTGGTGAAGATACACAGATAGATTTATAGGTTTTTCTTTAGGAGTTCATGTTGCTTTTCATCTATCTGAAAATTTCCAACATATAAAGGTGTTGGTCATATATTTGGAATATCATGATAAAGTTGATTTATTTTATATATGCCTTTCAAAATGTGGAACTTTAATATTATAATAGTTCTTTAAATATAGACCTATATGTTTTAAGTTTTTATTTCTTTGCTGAAACCAGTGTGGGAGTGGGAACGACTTTTAACCCTGGCATTTTTCCATCTCCTATTTGTTTTGTTTTATTATAATTTAGTTTGTTGCAAGGATTTTACAGTTTGAAGAAATAGAAAATTAAACCATATGCAAACCGTCACAAGGATGTGCATGACAAGGAAGGGCTATATATATATACTGCATGCATCATTTAGGTACTTAACATTGTAATACTTCTTGAGCTCCTTGAGTTATTTATGGTCACAGGAAGGTGCTTTGGCCGGAGAGTAAGTGTTGGGACCGGTATGATTTAAGGAGGGCCGGCCCTCGCACGATGAAATTAAGACCGGCCCACCGGGAAAATGCCCGGTGCCACAGATTACCAGTCCGAGCCTGGCTGAAACTAATCAGAAAAAAAGAAAAAAAGAATTGAGTCTCTCAAAGAGATAGAGTATTACTTAATACCAATACAATAAAGGATTTCTAGAAATGTTGGCCTTCTAAAAAAGTATGAACACGAAAAGCAATATCATGTAGCACTCGGTATTTAGTTGGGTCTCATTTTTCCTGGATTACTGCAGTAATTTGACGTAGAGCGGATCAGTCTGTGGCACTGCTCAGGTGTTATGAGAACACAGGTTGCTCTGATAGTGCCTTTCAGCCCTTTTGCGTTGTTAATTCTGGCATATTGCCTTTTAATTTTAGCACTAACCCATACAATTTCTATGAAGTTAAGGTCAGGTGAGTTTGCTGGTGAGTTAAGAACAGGGATACCATAGTCCTTAAACCAGGAACTTGTAGGGTTTGCACTATGTGCCGGTGCTAAGTCTAGCTAAAAAAATGTATCTGGATCTCCATAAAGTTGGTCAGTAGAAGGGAACCTGAAGTGTTTCAAAACCTCCTGCTAGGAGGCTGTGTTGACCTTAACCAACACCAGCAGATGACATGGCACGCCAAACCATGGCTGACTGTGGAAACTTTGAAATGACACCTAAAGGTGTAGTGGAGGATTTTCGTGAATCTTTGAAAAGACCCACCCTCTCAACTTTAAAAACAAATGCTCATGCACAACCCTGTACCTGCTCCTGAGAGGGAATGCCTATTAAATGCGCGTGAGAGCATGCATGAGCCCATTTCTCCTCGTGCACGCTATTTTTTCAAAAGAAGATTTGCATTTTTTCCATCATGTCAGACTCATCACTGGTAAGTGAAAATGGGGAAGAGCACGTAGGATGGCCTTATGTAAACATATCACCAGAATGATTAACAATTAGGAGGACCACTTATTTTGATGAAATAAGAACATCCTCAGCTATACCTTTAAGCAACATGGATTCTGTGCCTCCAGGTCCCGGAGTCTGGAGGAACACGACAGCTGTAACTCATACCTTGCATACATCCATGCTCGCTGGTCCATAAAACACCGACTCCAGCTAAAGTCTGCTCTTTGTGAATCTTCCCCACATTTCTGTATGGGTCCACAATCCTCTCCACGGTACAGTAATCCATATTTATTGAATATTTTTCCTTCTTTCTGCCTCTTTGTTAATATGCTTATTCTGCTTAATTTGGAAACAAAGCTCTGTGAACAGCCAGCGTCTTTAGCAATGACAGTTTGTGTCTTGCCCTCCTTGTGCAAGGGGTAAGTGGTCTTTTGGACAACTGTCAAGTCAACAGTCTTCTCCATGATTGTGCAACCAACAGAATTACACTAAGAGACAATTCAAAGGTCTTTGCAGGTGTTTTAAGTTAATAAACTCAAATTTTCTGACTCTAATGGATTAGCTGTTAGTTACACTAATCTAACTTAAAAGAAATAAACACTTGAAATATACCACTCTGTTTGTGATGAAGGAATATTATATATATAATTCACTTTTTGAATTGAATTACTGAAACCAATCAACTTTTTAATGATATTCTAATTACATGACCTGTATGTGTCTAATCTAGAATGCATTGCTTTAAATAACACTGGTAATATGTAGGTTACCTGCACTCCAGTTTTTAAACAGAATTCTCTCAGCAAGGAGAGTTTCTGAAGTCCATAGTGCTCCACCAAATGATTCGGACCAGCGCTATGAGAGGATTGCAAGGGTTAAACATGAGCTTTACCTCTGCTTCACAAACAAAGGTGGTGAACAGGTCCTCTCACCCAAGACTGTCAGAGATGTCATATGTTTTAACAGCGTCTTGGCAGACCAGATTCCACAGCTCAGATCCAGTGAGCATGCTCCAGGGCATGCTCTCGGAGGCCCCAGCTGCACGGCCACGTCTCCTTGACTTTTTCCTCACCTCTTCCCCGACAGGAGAGGGTATGAAATGGTGAACCAATAGGCAACCAAGGAAGTGACTGACTGCTGTAGAGAGGCAGGACATATCCACACCCTGCAAAGACAGAAGCAGATGCTTAGCAGAATTCTTTATGCAGGAACATGCCTGTAGCTACAGTGTCAGTCAGAAGTTGACATCCAGCTTTGCAAGTTTCTGATAATATGATTCACAGCATCAGAGTTAGACAAAGACACACTTATGGATATATTAATGCAACACATTAACCATTGCTTCCTTGTGTAACATCATGCAAAAATAAAAAGAAGAGGGGACCTTGTTCACCACTACCAACTTTATACTTTCCAGAGGCCTCAAGGTTTCTTACAATGCAAACTAAGAGGCATTGGGGAATGGAATGCAAGAATGTCTCAAGTAACCCTGACAACATGGGGATGTTCAATCATCGTCCATTTCAGGAACTTTCCTCATACTAGAGATGAGCAGGTTTTAGTTTGAAATGCAAATCCACCCCAGAACAACAGGAAATGATGCTGGTTGAAGCTTGTAAATAGATTTATCTATCAACAAGGATTCAAAGCTACCCAGAGAGGAAGAAGCCATTACTGCAAAAACAGCATAAAAAGCCACATTATAGGTAGAACATTCACACTGTAACAATGACCTTTTCTAGTCGATATTTCTTTTCTGATGAAAACTAAAAGTAACTGGTATGGTCTTATGACCATTGTTACATTCGGAAGTGAAAGGACAAAGCTTGCATGACTTAGAACATAATCTTCGCTGAAAAATGCATGGTGCAGCATCATGTTCTCTGGGTCTTGCAGCAGTGTGGAACAGTGCACTTACATTGTAGCAACAAAACACCATCCAGGAAATCAAAGCAGGTTAAACATGTATAACATTTACTGATTTTTATGAAAAATAACAAATCATAGAGTAACTCAAAGTAATAGGATTTTCCACCATGTATTGACATAATTATTTAAAAAATAAACTCATGAACAACCCCTAAACAAATCTTAAGGTAAACCCCTAGAAAAGACTGAAAATAATGTGACCAAAGAGTTATTTTGAATACAGTTGTGTCCAATAATTTGTATCGCCGGTGTCTGTAATCAGTCAGTGGGCCTATATATATGGCTATAGGTAGTTACTATGCTGTTTGGTGACATGGTGTGTACCACACTCAACAGAGGAACAGAGAAAGCAAAGGAAAGAGTAGTCTTAGGAGATGAGAAATAACATTATAGACAAGCAAGTTAAAGGTAAAACTATAAGACCATCTCTAAGCCGCTGGGTGTTCCTGTCACTAAAGCTGCACATATTGAGAAATGTAAGATCCACGGGACTGCAGCCAACCTTCCTGCATGTGAAAGCAGGAGGAACATTGATGACAAAGCAAAGAGACGGATAATATGAATAGAGACATGAGCCAAGAAAAAACTTCTAAAGAGATTAAAGGTGAACTTCAAGCTAAAGAATATCAGTGTGTGGTCCCACCATATACAGTATTATTGGTTAAGCCAAATTAGACTAATGAGAGGTGACCAAGGAGGAGAAATTTGATGAAAACCAATGAGAAAGCCAAATTGGATTTTTACCAAACTCCATATTGATGAGCCTCAAAGCTTCTATCTGCAATGGCACATGATCTCTATGTTCACAGATGGAAAAATGAAGCATATGAAGAAAAGAAAAGCAGCCCCAGATCTTTAATAGTCTGGTCCTGCTTTGCTTCATCTGGCACAGGGTACCTTGAATCTCTAAAGGGTCCAATGAAATCTCAAGACTACAGAGCGACTCTAGAGATAAATGTGCTGCCCAGTGTCAGACAGCTTGGTCTCTGTCATACTGTAGGTCATGGATATTGCAACAGGATAATGACCGAAAACAAAAGCTAAAAATACCCATAAATGACTAAGAGGAAAACATTTAACTATTCTGAAGAGGCCTCCTATAAACCCTGACCTAAATCAAACTGAGCATTTTTGGAAGGAGCTGAAACATCCTTAAAACCTGAGACAACTGGAACAGTTTGCTCATGAGGAGTGGATAAAATAATTCTGAGAGGAACAGAAGTTGTATTGACAATTACAGGAATCATTTCATTGCAGTGATTGATTCCAAAGGCTAAACAACAAGATATTAAGTTAAGGGGACCATCATTTTTTGAAGCAAGGTCTGATTTTCCTTTGCTTATTTTCATAGTATTTTTATTTGATATTACTTATATCAGATTCAAGTTATTTTTTTTGACCATTGTGGGTTTTCCATCATTAAATGAGGGATTGTAACTATGTTGCCCATGTATGTCATGCTGCAACAAGGAGACACCTTAAACATGCAGGACAGGGGAACTTAAAGGTAGGGGTTAGGAAACACTGCTGTAGGACTTTTATGGGCAGAGCTCAAAAGAGTTGAGGGAGCATATATGGTTCTTGACAAGAGCTATTATTTATTTTATTTTCACTGTTTTATTTTATTGATGATTTTAGAAAGAAAGATGATTTTGCCCTTTTAGCTTCAGTCATATTGACATAGAATCATGTTTTCCTCTGCTAGATCTGAGGATTCCAGAGCTGCACATGTTTTTTGGTTCACTTAATATGTTTAATGCTTAACTATTGCTCTGTTTTTTTGTTTTGTTTCATTCTATCCCAAACAAAGGGGTCTACGAACCAGACTCTGAGGTCTCATTTAGAAGACATTTCACCCCTAATAAAATCTATGCATGTATGCAAGTCTTTATCTCACCTTGAGTCCTCTACCCCTCCATTTAACCATAACTGGTCCATACAGAGCACTGCATGAATGTCATCGTGTGTTTAAATAAGCCAACGAGTCACTGTTGTTTCCTGGTTACCTCGACAAACACAGCCAAAAAAAAAATGAAAAAAGTCTCCTTTGATCAACGCAGAAATAGATGTGTTGAGTGAGGTAGTGAGCCAGAAAATATGTTTTATAGCCAGAGTGAATAAAAGGAAGTATTATCATTGACACCTACAGAGTCTGTGGACATCCAGGCAGCATTGTGGTTATGGTTGGCTTTGATATCTCTGATTTATGGACAATTTCATGGAATTATTCTTATCTGAAAAGTTTCCTCAGGCAAAGAATTAGTTGATTGTTAATTAAAGGTCTGTGGCACATTTTGCACTGGTAAGAGCTGTTTCTCAGGAATCCCAGAGGGGTTAACAGCTTGAATTAATAAAAAAAAAAACATGTGGGAAAGTAGCACACCTATCTATAGGATTTCATATGAAAAAAAATTGGCATGTTTTGGCTACATGATCTTAGTATTAAGATGTTTAGTTTACTTAATCTTTCAAGTATTATTTTGGATCTTTAACTGACTGGGGGATGAAGTATCATATATCTTTCAACCATATAAAAAATTATTTAGATCTATAATTCATGAATATATCAAATTCGATATATACCCAGAATTGCTTATTTTTTTATATCTATTTGTGTTTTTTAGAAACATCTAACAGACTACACTTTCTTTTTTAACATGGGCACACTGTTCTCCTTTTTTAAAAACTGTGATGAACAGGAACGGCGGGGCTAATAAATCAGTCACCCTTATGGCCCAGCTAAAGCCCTGAAATTGCATTTCCTCCTTATTCTCCAATTTACAGAGAGTTCAACATATTTAAAACATCCATCACGCATCATTAAGCACTGGTAGTTCAATGGTATTTAAAGGTTACCAGAAATCTGTGTGAATTCCACAAACCTTGTTGGATTTATACAATGGAGGAATGTGATGGTGAGGAAACATTTAAATATGGGCTGAATTATGGTCGGCTCAGGAGTGCCAGCACATGCTAGACTGCGGTTACAAAACAAACAAAGTTAATCTTTGATTCAGGTTTCATATGAAGTGAAATTAAATGTCTGAGAGAATTATGATGTAATCTGGCCTCAGCTTCCCACCTCACCAAATCCCAGCCTCTCCTAAACTAGCTTTCCCATACGTATGGTCAGAGTTTGGATGAAGCATCACATATTTCATAGATCACAGCCTTTGTATGAAAGTCGGCATATGCAAGTTTAGAGACAGTTCTGTGCATACCAAACTTTCTAAATGAGACCCCCGCTCGTAAACAATGAGCCAAAACTACAACTATTATTAATTACCATCCATATATCAAGGACTGAATGCATTGGAAAATTATAGCAGTCTTTACAGACAGCCACAAAGTACCTGTAGAAAATGGTTGAAGACTCTTTTTGCTGAGCGGATGAAAATTTCACCAATAGTTGATCTCTGTATGATACAAAAAGACAGATAGTAAAAATGTTAACATAGCAGATATAGTTAGACTATTTTACATTTGTCAGCTAAATGTGAAGAAGTGAAACAAACCAATATGTGCCGGAGGCGCTCCTTGTGTTCTGACTGGTTGATAGCCTTGACCACGTGCCCCAGGTAGCGCAGGTTGATTCCTCTCTGGTGCAGCGCCTGTTTCAGAGAAGCTCCATCCATTGGCGCCTCATGGTTTTCTAGGCAGCACTGCAGCTATAAAAAGCAATAATTATAACGTATTACACTCTGATTTGATGGTCACACACATTTCTCCTTGACAACTTCAAGAAATTGGAAGCACTGGAGACACGTACAAAGTCTGGTATCTGGTGTGTGATGATAAAAGCTGCAGCTTCTCTCAACAACTTCTCCTGGAGGTTTGTTGCTGCACTCTCAGCAGGAGGAAACTGGATTCCTGAATGATAAACAAAAGAAATAACAGTTTTAGTAATGATCTACTGAGTGTTTGTTATGTCTGAAAAGGCATTTTTAATTTATATACCCGGAGAGAAAACGTTTGGGTTGAAGCGCATCTCAAAGATGATGTCACTAACTGAGCCCACGTCTCTGCATGCAGCCCGTACTGCATCAGTCGCTCGAGAGTCACCTAAAAAAAAATAAAAAAATTGGTCAAGAATAAAATGTGTGCTTTTCGATGGACAGAGCTGTATAACTGTAAAATACTCCTTACAGGCTGTTGCACATTCTTCAAATCCTCCATTCTCATCCATCTTCTTCTTCACAATTCGGGTAAACTGACAATGTCTGCAATACCAAAAAAACATTTAAAATCGATGAAAAAACAAGTTCAAATTGAATTCACAACATTTTCTTCCACATTAAACTCACTTGTGCTGAATGAACGCTTGCACCAGCTCTGGCCTCAGTCTACAGAGAGCATGAGGAAAACTTTTAGGGAGCCCAGTCGTGCCCTGATAATTCTCTGGCCAACCCTCTTTCTCATTCCTGTTGCTGTTCTCCTCATTCTCTTTACATTTTTCGCTGCTTTGCTCATCTTCATCGGCTATTTGATTTTGTGTTTCCCCCTCTGGACAGAAGTTGGCATCAGCTGGGAAGCTCCTAAATACATCTAGTATGTAGAACCTCCCATCAGCTCCCAGTAGCCCCTGAGCATCGGCAGAGGTGAACAGAGGTACACGGTGACCCTTGGGAGCCACAACAACATGTCGCTGGATGGACAGACTTTTCGCTGCGTGAGCCAGCAGGCCTAGCAGCCGTCTACGGTGAGGGGATTCTTGGGGTCCTGCATTCACTCCATAAAGCAAACCTCTGAGGAGAGAAAAAGAAAATAAATCCAGCAACAAATGCACACAGAGGTAAAACATACTAAAAGCGCTAACAGTAAGTACCTAGAGGCAGGAGAATCTTTCTGGTCCTGCTCTGAGCTTTCAAAGCCAGGAGCCAGACCCTGGGCTGACAGACGCACTCCTCTGTAGTCCACGATAGCTGTGGGTATGGTATGCAGGCCCTGGAGCCCATCTAAGTCACTGTAGGCCTGCACACCTTTAAGCTCCAACCTCTGAGCTGCCCTGCAGGTGGGAAGATGATTATAAATATGAAACAACTTTGTGGAGTAAATCCAAACCATTGCATAAATGGTGAGGGGTGTGCTCATTTGCTTCTGTCACAACAGCCACAATGCATAGCAAAAATATTCACCCCCGCTTAAGAGATTTACACTGTAAAACAAAAACATTTATGTATTTTATGAGGATTATATATGTAGAGTAGTCTTTATGACACATTAAAAATATTCTTCAAGTTATCACTCTCTGAAGCTATTATAGGAGTGAGAACTGGAGGTGATTTTTAACCCTGTGGACTGGATCATGATCTTTAACGAGTTTTTCCCTAAATGTAACTCAACCTCCAAAGACGAAAATGTTCTCGGGCACGTTTAACCTTTAAATGTAAAATACATAAAGAGAGATTTACTTATTTGTTTGGTCATGCAACCATATTCAAAGTTTATAAAAGGGGGTACATTCTGTAAAGGTCACCGGTGAAACATTTCTGCTCACTTCTTCTTTCCGTCTCCTTATATATCCCAGACAATCTATTTGACGCAGACACTAAGTCTCTCTTACTACGGTAATTATTTTATTTTTGGCAAAAAAAAAATTCCTTTACTGAGGTGGTCAACTCCCCAGGTCCCTACAGTTGAACAGAAACTAATTGTAATGTCATTTCTCCCTAGAAGAGGAAGGCTAAATTTTTTTTCTCATTTTATTTTGTTCTGCTTATTTCACACTTGCCTGTCTCCTGTCATCGTGTCGACTTTATACGTATGTCTGTTTGTGTAGTCATGGATATTTGTCTTACAGGTATATGTATAATCCATATATTGCAGTGCTCAGGCTAGTTTGAGACCTTTTTGTTTTTTTCTGTTGTTAGTTTTGTTTTTCCAATGTCTGTACTCTTACAACCAAGAATTTACCAAACAGTAGTGGTGACATACACCATCTGAGCTGTGGATCCTGAGGCTCATCCAGTATTACAACAGCCCCCTTCACTGCTTCTCGAACATGTTTTTTTTTTAAGAATTGTACCTCAAGCAAACACTTAGTTAAAGTCTAAAGTCACTTTTATACAGAAAGTTAATAAAATTATTTGGGAACTGCTTGTTTACCTCAGGTACCAATAGGAAGTCATTTAGAGGCCAATTACTCTTGTCAACTCTTCAATGTGGGAAAGACAAAACCATTAAAGTCAGATAATGCTGTGTTCATTTTATTAGGTCAAGAAATGTCCATTAGAAACTAAAAGCTCCTGGTCATGGCAATGCTTAATCATCTATGAAAAACACCAATAAGATTTATCTTCTTTCCCCACTGTTGGGATCATGGTAATGAAGTTGCACAACATATCTTAAGCACAGTCCCAGAGAACTGCAGCATACTCTTTCACAAGTTTGCTAAAAGACATTTGACATGTATTACCTGCGACCCCGCTCACCACCGAATACCGGACTTGTGGCCCCCTGACTCATGAACAGACCTCCCCAGAGGAAAGCTGGGTCCTCTGGGTTTCCATTTACCGGCTCGACAAATCCATCTACCACAGTCTCAACTCCCTGCATAGCAGTCCTTACAAAAGCACTGTTAATCTGGTTTTTAAAAAAAACAAAAACAAAAAAAAACAAACAATGTAGAGACATGTTTGAACTGCATTTGTTTCAGAAGTAAAATCTGTCAAGCTTTTATTTCTAACCTGTAGCAAAGTTTTGTCTCTCTGGATTCTTTCTTCCAGACTTCCCTCTGGGAGATCTCTGGCTGCTTGTAACTCCTCATTCCAATCTGGTGCCTAAACATAATAAACAGTTGCCTTAGGTATATATTTATATACAGCATATCATATATATATATATATATATTAGTGCTTTTATAGTTTATGCAATACATCCACAAATGAAAACAAATCAAACCTGTGCTGCTGCCTGTTCATCCACTCCCAATCGACTGAAGGTGTTCTTGTGAACACGAGAGGCGCAAGGAGGCCCAAGCCAGCACAGCGTGTGGTAAGGAGTGGGCATCGCCTCTACTGGGAGCTGCTGTGGTCTAAAAAGGGAAAATCATAATGCATCAAACTCAGCTACAGGAGTTCAGGCAGCTTACAGTGGTATATAATATTACTAACCTGTTTTTTAGTGTAGTAAAGGCTTGCTTGAAAGTAGGGCTGAGGTGGCACAGCAAGTCCGTGAGACAGTGACAGATAGGAGAAGATTGTGCAGGACGGGGATCAAATAAATCTTCAGTAGACCTAAACATGATAACAAGAAAAAAACTGACTTGTATTGTACACTTAAATGCAACAATCTGTACATACATGTTTGTTACACAGGTAATAATACCCTTTGAACATCTCCTAATGTAATTTGCTCAGTTACAACCACAGACGTCATTGCATTTATTAAATTTATCTAATTTATCTTTAGAATTAATAACGTATTTTAAAATTTGAATTTTGTTGTATAATATTGGGATCTGATGTGACAGAAAAACACAAAGTACTACGTTAATGGCTTTCAAGTTATTTTACGAACATAAATCTACTTACTCTAGCAAGTATTCTTTTTACCCCATTGGATAAATATTTATTTGGAACTCAGATTACAGCAGAAAGTCTATCTGAGTATGTCTACTTACTTGTAGCCCAAAGTTTAAGCTTCTAAATTTTGCCTGAACTTTAACACATATAATCCATATTCTGTCACGCTTTATCCAAGCTGTGCTCGAGAAGAGTGCTGCTGCCTATCTTCAGCTGTCTACAGGCGAGATGCAGGGTACACCCTAAACAGATTGCCAGTCCATCGCAGGGCAAGACAGAGACACACAGGACAACTATTCACACAAAAACACTCACACCTAAGGAGAATTTAGAGAAGCCAAATAACCTGACAGTCATGTTTTTGGACTGTGGGAGGAAGCCGGAGTACCGGGGGAGCCACGTATGCACAGGGAGAACATGGAAACTCCATGCAGAAAGAACCCAGACCGTGGCGTGAATCGAACCAAGAACCTATTTGCTGCAAGGCAGCCGTGCTACCCACTATACCACTGAGCAGCCCTAACCCATAATATATATTGTAATACTTGTATGTTTAATTCTGCTCGGGTCTCAACTGTTTCTCAACCAAAGAAAATATTTTTAAGGCTTGTTACAAACACACACACACACACACAGAACACCATTGTGCCACCAAATTGTCTTACAATGCGAAAAGTGTGTCTAAGGATGAAGTGCAGGGCTGGTTTTTCATCACAATAACCCAAAAATGTGGTATTGTTGGACAGAGCATTTTCTCCTGCATGTTTGCTGTGTTTGCTAAATGATTTGTTGCAAGCATAAGCTTTATCTGGTATTCTTTCATCAATGGCTTTTAGATTTCTTGTGTCTTTCTTTCTAGTTGCTTGCCAACAGATTCTCCTACCTGAGCTACCAATGAAATTTAGGCAGTATTTATTATTATCTTTTCCTCGTCAAGCCTATCGGTTCAGGGAGACGGTCAGCTCTTTGTTAGGTCAGCAGTTGTGTGATGCTTTGAAAAGTTCCTCTATTTTCAAAAGGCTGAGGTTTTGTTTTGTAGCCTACTTCTGCTTTAACCTTCTTAAATTGTATCCCTTCTCTCGAACCTTTCCACAAATTTCTTCCTGGTCTATTCCCTGTGTTCCCTTGTCTTCATGATGAATATATTTACAAAAACTACTAAAACCTTGACTGAAATGTGTGTTTGGTTTAAAAAAAATTATAATAAGTTTAAAGGGAACACACATGGAGGCTATTGCATACCCTAAATGATAAAAGTTCGGACATAAGAATGTTCACCTGTTCAGGAAGAAGCCTTTTGGACAGGATGTGATATCACAGTGTCGACCCTCTATTGTCGCCACTGTGATGTACATGAAGTCCCCCTGCAGCTTCCTGTGTCCTGGAGGGGGGTGCCAGCAGCTAAGAGACAAGTCCTTCAAATAACTAGGAGCCTATTAAGACACAAATAAAGAGAAGGAGGGTCAACTTGTGTTTTACTTGATTCAAACTAGTCAAATTCCCAGACAATCTTGTATAACCCCACCTCTGTTTGAGAGCTGTGTGGTAACAGAGCCATAAGTGGTCTTTCTGAGGAACCAGGCAAGAGGTAATCAGGTGGAGCTCCATCCTGGTTTGCTGATTCTCCCTTTGTGTTGCTTAATGAGCGCTTCAGGCTCTTTCCATTCGCTAAGTTTGATTCTGTATGAGGAACAAAGAGAGATTTCCGAATGAATCAGGCTTTTTCTGTTGCCCTCTTGTCTCAGTGGACGGCCTTTATGCATTTACCAGGTGTGTGCGTGAGTGTCTCCAGCACACTCGGTGATCGCCCTTCTCTTAGTGCATCATGAGGGCCAGACGCTCTCAGTAGCTCCACAACCCGAGCCAAATGAACCCTTGCGGAGTGGAGGGTATAAGGCTCTGCAGAGACATGCATTGGTTAACATAAGATTTTAGCCTGACCCTCTTTATGAAAGTCACAGTGGCGTGTGAAAAGTCTAATGAACCTGTGAAATGAACAATCTGCTCACAAAGCATCCAGAACATCCCTCTTTGGACATTGACCTGTTGGCTGAGATGTTTACATCTCAGTTTAGAATAATAACATCCATCTATTTTTTTTTTTTTTTTGTGGGGTCAGTGTCTATTCCCAGCAGTCAGTAAGAATTAAGCCACATACTAAACAACTCTGCAGTTTGTCACAAGAAAACTAATCATGCAAATGTAAACTCATAGCTAAGGTCAGATTAGAAAGACTGCCAAACTTAATGTGCATGCTTTTGGACTATGAGAGGAAGCCAAGGGACCCTCACAGACCCTGTAGATGATTGTTGAAAACATGCTTTAGGCAAAGAGGCCCAGGCTAGGATTTGACCACAATACATTATTCCTGCAAGACAGCAGAGCTAAAACTGCAGCACTGTGCCATTTTCAAAAAAACAGGCAAACAGAAAACAAAAATGCTTTTATAATTATGTGTTTCAGTAAACTGACTAATAAAGGGGAAAAAATACAATGAAGGCCCTGTCTGGTGTTTCATTATTTGAACTGTTCAAGGAATGGATCCATTGGCTGAAGTGCAGTAGGCAGGCTGATTGAGAACATCTGGGTCAACCCTACATAAATACCTGGCAGCTGTGCAGAAGGTGTCTTCAGGCTGCAGACTTGCTTGTTTACTTGTATAATCAAAAGTTGCATTTGACTTTATCAGTTCGCATTGAGATGTCTGATTTTACAGACTTTGTAAACCAGAATGTTTTGGTTTTGTCAATACATTAAACATTTATAAACTCTTAAGTTATGAAAATATAATTAATATCTGTTTTAACTGTTTCACTGTGCTTCAAGTAAAAAAACAAACAAACCAAGAAACTCTATATATTTTTATAGCATGTATGTTAAAGACATACAAAACTAAGTGAACAATTGTGAAATGGAAGGAAAATGATATAGATTTTGACATTTTAACAAATGGACATCCTAACAGTGTAGCATACATTTGTTGAAAGTCAAGAATTAATAATTTAAAAGACAAATTTTTGTTTCAGCTTTAAGTCTTTTGGGGTAACTTTGTAAAACCTTGCATCTCTAGACCCTGCATTTTACAATTCTTTTTCGTAAAATAGCTGAAGTCTAGTCGGAGTGACTGGAGAGCTTCTGTGAACATGCATTTTGTTTTGTTAATTGGTTTAAGTCTGGACTCTGGCCCCAAACTGGCACATGAATTTGCTTCCATCTAAAGCATTCCATTGTAGCTCTGATGGTGTTCAGGACTTCTTTGTGTTCAGCTCCATCTTTCTTCCTGTCAGCTATGACCTTCTGACTGTTCCCTCCTACAGCAAGCCATTCCCACAGTGGGATGCTGCCACAGTCATGTTTTACAGTATAGTGAGTCCAGGGTGATGAGCTGTTTTCTATCACAACATTTTCCTTGTAGGCAGAAAATTATCTGATAAGAGCACTTTCTTCCATGTGTTTCGGTGTCCTCTTACAAGGCTTGTGGAAAATACCAAATTAGACCTTCATCTTTTCTAAAAGAGAGTTGTTTAAATAATAGTTCGAACACTAAATTCTCCAACATGAACTGTCGATTCCTGCAAGGTTAATGCTATTCTTACCAATTTGCCCGATTAGGTGAAGGTCTGAATCTTGGTTGCCTTGCAGTTGCACCATAGTTTTCCATTTTCAGGCAATGAACTGAGCAATGCCCCGTGAGAAGTTCACAACCTCAGATGATCTTTTATAACATATCCCACCTCAAATGATGAATTACTGCTGTATTACTTGGTCCCCATGAAGCTGCTTGTCCGCTAATGCTCTTAAACAAAGCTCTAAGGCCCACGCAGAACAACATTATTCGTAGTCAGATCCGTTTACACACAGATGGACTTTATTTGAACTGTGCATGCAACTATTTCCTCTTGATCTAATTTAAGGTGTTTCGGGGAACCTAATACATATTGCAAAATGGGAAAGAAGTTTTAGGGGTCAGGATATTTTTCTAATACTTATATAAACAGCTAATCAGAACTGTGATGAATCCACTATGACAACAGATTTAAGCATTTCTGAATCATGCAGTTGGTGTGAATTCAAACAGAGTATATCAACTGAAATTTAAACTAAATATTACCTTCCACTAGTCGAATGAGAGCTCCTGACTTAAGGCCCTTGATGCCTAGCAGTTCAGCAAGGGGATCCAAAGTTGCCCCAGCTAGAGCTAGAGACAAGTTGGAACGTGGACACACCTCATTCCTCGAAAGCAGGGCCATCATCACATCTTGAACGAGCCAGAACGCATTAACCTAAATGGTACGAACACAGAAAGAACCTCATGTAGCTTTAAACAGTAGCAACAAAACTGAATCAGGAAATTCAATCTCGCCTTTCATTGTTGTTTGTTACCTGCAGTTCAAATGGCTCTACTCCTGCTCCTTGGATCTTCACAGGAAATGCTGTGCTCTCCTCTTGCTTGATATCAACAGTATCATCTCCGCTGGGTGGAGAGATTACATCTATGTGCAGGAAAGAATGGAGAAAGCCAAATTAACTGTGATAAAATACAGGGTCCAGTGAAAGAGGAGAAAACAATTTGGTTTATTATTTCTCCTGTCCCCCTATACCATCCATGATGGTCTCTAGCTAACCAGAACTGGAAACAATGAATGAAGGGGGAACAATCATGGCATAGCATGCTTACATTTTATCAATGGATTAATGTTTTTGAATTAATCTTTTTTTTAATCACTTTTACCTAATCCGAGGAGTCTTTATGTGTAAATCTATTTCTTTATTTTACAAAAGAACATGGAACAAACATGTGATTTACAAGGCAAATGGGGCGTGGCCCAATTATACACACACATGTGGTGCCAGAGGGAAAGCAGGACTCGGCGTGTTCCTTGAACTGATGTGTGACTAAACCTGATGGATTTTCCTTCTGGTGTTCATGTCATCTCCAGGTGAAACGACAGCCACACCCAGCTTTATTTTAGCAAGCACCAAAATGTTACAACTGAAAAAGAAATTTAAAACCTAAAAGTTTGACTTCTTCTGTTGAATACTGAAGGCATATAAGACAACAATCCTGATCTGTTTTTAATTACTGTTCTTTCCACACTAAATTAGCTGCTGATGTTGTCAATCTGGATCTGTTTTGCTATTGGAAAGCTCCCAATAAATAGGTAGATGTTATTGGCTGAAGGAACGCGCCGCCTCTTTGGAATTTAAGGGAGCATCATTTATTCTTTACAGGACCTACTGCTTTATTACAGTTGCAAAAAAACTAATATTGTGCCTTTATCTTTTAGAGCTACCTCTTTGATTCAAAAACACTGTTCTTGGTTATGTCAGCAATTTAATTTTTTGCTTAGCCTGGACTGACTTAGACTAAATTTTGCAGAAATCAAACGGCAATAACAAAGTAGTTAGAGGTTATGTTTAAATTTGTTATGTGAAAAAGGGCATTTTTATTTTTTTTATGTTAATGAAATGAGGTACAAGACACCACATTTAAACAAAAACAAAACACCTGATAATCAGATGAATCAGCACTTGGATTAAGTTAAAAAAAAAAACGTCATAAAAAAGTTTAAACTATTTAGAAAAAAAAATTATAAAAACTGCAGCATTAAATTTATAAAATGGTAATACCACAAGTAATTTAAGTAATTAAAAAGTCACAAGCTTTAGCTCTTAATGCTGTGCCAACGTTTTTATTATTTTATAGGAAAAACGCTCAGCTGAGTCGAATCTGACATGCACTGAAACCTAATGCACTCATTTATCTTTGTAAAAGGGGAGTGGTGAATGTTCAGAAAGGTAAAGAAGTCACACTGGAGAATGTCACCTCTTCTGCTCATATTCTGTTCTTTACAATGAGCATAAATGGGTGGTTACAATCAAACTGAGGGGTTTAAGCCATTTGTAAGGCACGTGTCAGTGTTACAAAATGCTCTAAAAGTACACTAAATGTGCTGTAACTTCTTAAAGAGGCTAGAATGTTAGCACCAGATATGTTAGAGCGTCAGTCAGTGCTGTGCCAAATCTCCCACCCTACTTCCACACATTCTTCACAAGGGAAAAGAAGCTGCTAAACAGAAAAGAAGGAAGGCATTAAAAAAACACTGTGATTATAGGGATTACTTACCAGCTTTGACTTGATTTTTTCCTCCTCCTTTTTTCACTTTGTCCTTCATGGTTGGAAGTTTTTCCTCTCTGTTTCTCCCTGAAAGGTCTGGTCCAAAAGCTGCTGGAATGGGGAGGATAAAAAGGAAGGTTGATTTGTGCAGCTGGATTGTGTGTGTGTGAGAGAAACAGAGAGCCCAGCGGAGTGAAAGTAAACGGCTCACTGTTCAGCACTGTGACTCATGCCCCTCTTTACAAGGCAAACTCAACTTATCTGTTCCCAGTGTGCAAAAAAAAAAAAAGCCACACCCTCTTATTGCTCCACACTGCCTCAGAAACTTTGCTGGACTGGGTGTGTCTTTGTTGTAGCTTCACTCACTCTTCCTCCCTGAGGCATGTTACACTCCTCCCCCATCAGCCTTGAAGTAGAAGTGAGAATTGTGCACAAAGCTTTTGGCATTTTAAACAGTTATGAGTTTTCTAAAGAGTTGTTTCTTCATTTTGTCAGAAAAAGAAACTACGGGTGGAACTTTGCAATTATGAAAAAGTATGTATATAGACATTCTTCCACTACATTAGGGAGTTTGTCCTGGGTGCAGCCGACATGCTGCACTGCTCATCAAGTAAAAGTTTGCAAAAAAAAAAACACAACCAAGACATGGCTGAACTTCCAGAGTTGGGTGTATCTGTGTGATGTGGTTCCTCCTGATTGTTTAGTGGACTACACCTACTACGTCGGTTTTTATCACACACATACCTGAGAATAACTCAGTTTGAACAACAGTGATGATGTGTTAGCTGAACAAGAGGCCTTTTTGTTACCACTGGAGTCCTGCAAAATAAACTTCAGTCATGTAAAAAAGTAGGACAGGGTGTAGTCTGAATTATCTCCTAGTTGTAGGACTGGAAAGTCAAGCTCAGAGCTGGGAAAGAAATAATAAATTGACTAAAGTTTATTGACCTTTTTGACATCTATGCAAGGCATGTAAATGACTGCTAAGCCCAAAAATATTCATAACCCCAGCAGAATTAGATTTAGCAAAGTTTTCAGGTTTAGGTAAGTTTATTTCAAACAACTCAAAAGCAGGAAAATAAACAAAATGTACTTATTTTTATGCAATATTAAAATTGAGCTATTACATTTTGCAGTTGAAAAGGAATGAGAAGAAGTTAAATCTATTTAGATTTAAAAAAAAAATCTTATTTGACCAATACTGAGTCTAAATTAAACCAACAGTTATGTTTTGGAGTCACACCTGAATTACTCCATTCTGTAATTGTACAACCAATTGATACAGTACATAATATTTGTTTTGGCACAGCTTTGATGGCTCCGAAAAGTGAAAATCCACAAAGGCCACAGATGCACCATAGACTTCTTTTACACAGGCCAAAGAAAATATTCCAGGTAAACTCCTAAAGTTTTCTCAGTTTATTTTTTCCTCAGGCAAGCAAACAAAAAAAAGACAAACATTTCCTCCATGTTTCTCTTGCGCTGGTAAAAAACCATATGCCCAACCAGACGCATGCTGGTCCTAAGATTAACTGCCTATTTATAAAAAATAATTAACCTAAATTAATTTTTACTAACCAAATAATAAAGGAACATGACTAAATAACCAAATAACATAATCTCATAACAGATATTAAACAATAAAGTAAAATAAACTTAGCTAGATTATGCACAAAAACAAAAAACATTTTTAATCATTAACAAAAAATAATTGGCTCCTACAATATTATTTCCCAAATGTCCTTGTATGCATCAGACTGCTTTAGATTGAACTGTGTACAAAACGTTTTTTGTTCTGCATGTAATATGGTCGAAGCTATAACTTTTTCTTTGTTTTTCGACTGCACAAAAGATCAAGTGAAGTTTATTTACTGAGAAATGTGCAGCATATATTCATATAGATGGTTTGCATGTCATCTTCAGTGTTTATTGAAAATTTTAGCCTCTTTAAAAAAAGATTTAAAAAGAGAATGTTTTATTTTGTCTCCTTATTTGTTATCTATTTAGTCAGGCTAATTTACCTTTTGTTTACAGTGAAATAGTAACAACCTCCCATCCCCACCCCGAACAATCGGAAAATACAGTTTTGTAATGTAATAGATTATAAGTTCTAGATAACCACTGAAATTGCCTGCTATTTCGTCTATTATATTGCAAACGTACACTTTAGAAATATTGAATCTTACATATGTTTAATCTTAGTTCATATAATCATCAGGATGCTTTTTGGGGAGTAGATCGGTTTTTATTTGGAGTTTCCGACGGCCCCTAAATCCGTCTTGGCCGCAGCTGAGTTGACAGGAGGCTGTCCTTGGCTAGCAGCGTTAGCTACAGCGAGCTATACCGCACACATACAACACATATGCAAACTGTTATATATATTTTTTCTCTTTATGACGAGGTGATGGTGAGTTTTATAAGTTTTCTTTTAAATATACTAAGGTCGACATGTTACATACATATTCTACATTAAAAGAGCCCAACTTTAGTTTAGCCCGTTACTCAGCTAGCAACCCTTGGCCTGAACGTTATGTCAGTGATGTTTTTTCCCCGAGTCATTTAACATTAACCAACTGTGAAGTACCAGTCGAAATAAGATCGCCGTTTTGGTTACTTCCAGAATTTCCAGTTTTTATATGTCGACACTCGTTTAAAAACCTCGTTCTCACGAAAACCTGACTGTTTGCATTTAGCATTTTAATGCACTCTGGGGAAAGTAATTAAGGAGGCTTTAAACCTAAAGATAAAAGGTTAACACCTGGAGTTAAAGCTCTAAGTAAGGTGTTAGTCTTTGTTAATCTGTCTTGTTTTTTTTTTATGTTATTCTGTTTTATTCACGATAACAGGTTATTAAGAAGTTATCTGTTTACCTATTGATGTGCATCTGGCTGCTCCAGGTCTTGTGACTCTGCTCCACCCCTCAGGTAAGAGCTGAGGGTCGGGCTGATGTCATCCAGTCAGGGTGAAGGAGGGGGTCTTTCTGAGGCTGCCCCAGACAACAACACCAAGGACCTGTTTGACAACCCGCTTCAAACTGCTGCAACATGCAACACTCCTGAAACACAGGTGAGGCAGCAAATTTGGGATTTTATGTAATAATGCAAGCAGTACAACATCTTTTTTCTGGTCTCTTATACTTAGCATGGTGCATCAATTTAAGGCTGTTTAACTTTCAAAAGATATGCGTGTGTGTATGTTGTGTAAAATTACTTAACCAATGAAAATAAAGGAAGTTAAGAGAAACAAAATGCATTTAATCAGAGATGAAAACACTATTGCAGCCCATGTGGTTATTTGTCACTACCCAGTCTCATCCTCAGAACCACTTTTTGACTTAAGGTTTTTTTAATCCTACAAACATTGCAAGGTTTCAGTCAAGAAATGTTTTGCACAGCACATCTTTTTAAAGTTGCAGGAGATTAGGTAAACAAGCAATAAGTGATAATACTGGTGAGTTTTGCAATAACGATGTGGCTTTCGGAAAAAAAAAATGTTTTTGGTTCATATAAACCTAGACCCCAGATAATTAAGCTACCAACACGATTTATTACACTTTAATGTGGCAAGCACATTATGTTTTTCCTTGGAAAAAAATGCAACCTCTCTGTCTCCTTTATTGTTGAACTCTAAACTAGACTCTGCATCACACTTGCAACATTATTTTGCACTACCAACATTGTTGACCTGTTATAATCCTTTTGAATAGGACACAACTCAATATTCCACTGCGTCTGCACCATATTTCTTTTTGCGCTGCTCTGAACTTTTTCATATTAATTCCCTTTTGCACCATTATTTTAAACTGCTTTCTTTGATTATGATCACTGCTGCACTTTATATTAGTAATATCTGAAATAAACAGGTGTCAGCAAATGTTTTAAAGACATAGAGAGGCATGGTACTAAAAAAAGGGTATTTCAAAGCATTCTGCTAATTGTACAGATGAGTACCTGGAGGTCTTAAACATTTTTAAATGGAGGCAGCACCCGATGGTTTCAGTATTGCAAGATTTGTGAAGGAATTAACACCAAATCCTTTGAATCATTTCAGAGCCCTTATGTGTCCTAAAACCCAGAGGGTGTCACCCTATATTGCTCACGTGTCTTTGATCTGACAAATCGAGCTCCATCCCGCATTTGCATAAAACTTTGGTTTGCTTTGGAATATCTGTCTGATGACTTCCGCATCTTCTTTGACATTGCAGTAAAGAATACAGTGGCAAGAGTAAGCCTAAAGATAATACAAGTTAATACATTTTAATACAGGTTCCTGTTTTAGTCTATGTGTAAAACCCTGGATAGTGCTCTATTTAAGATTTAATCTTTGTTAATTCTTTCGAAAACTAGTATTTTTTTGCTTTTGTGTGGGAGTTTTTCCGAGTACCATTCCTGAGTTTGTTGTTTTCCAGCAGTTCAAAACATTTTACTTGGATTTGTAGCGCTCATAAATAATGTGCAAGCAATCAAGGAGTGAACACGCTGTGTTTTTCAGGAAGTGTTTCCCATTTACATTTCAGTTTCTCCATGTAATTACAGGGGTACACACCAGCTTTGTGCACAAACTTCACTAAGAATATTGGAAAGGTGCAGACTGCTTGAATGATTTGGCAATTGCATAAAGTGGGTGTTTGTGGTGTCAAACTGTGGCAGGCTCTGGTATTTCAGCATGCTGAAAGAGAAGCTGTATTACTGGTTGTATTGTTTTGTAGCCCTAAGAAGTTCAGTGGAATTAGATTGTTTACAAGCTGTGGCTATGTTCGAGTCGGCAGAACAGACAAGACGAAGCTTGTAGACGAGGGAAAAATACAACAAGGCTTTGTTCATTGACCCAGAGGTGGTCTGATCTTTTGTTTCCTGACTGCCCTTTGCTTTATGTAATGGTCTGACGATTTTAGTTGGAGGTTGCTGATAATGTTCGGGCTGTTCTCATGGAAGTAACTGCAGTGTTGATCAGTGAGCCGCTCCGTAAAAGGGGAGACACAAAATAACCATCGGTAGGAGGTATTTGTTTTAATTTCATAGTTGTGGTTTATATCTAACATGAGGAGGAGATAAAGTTTTTAGATTTTATTCACATTGTTTTGTTTCTTTAGGTTTCTCCTGTTTTGGATGAAGCTTCTCCTTCCTCTACATCCTCTTTTGAGATGCTTGACATGGAATCGGTTCCACCTCCATACCAAGAGGTGCAGCCTCACTGGTTCTTCTGCCGTCGGGCAGATGACTGCACTTCCTGGCATCCCTTCAGCAGAGAGGACTCTGACAAACTAGAAAACGCTTGCAACACTGGTAAGAACCAATAGTTATCTTAGATTGGTTAATATAAATACTATGAGCTGTTTAAAGTTGAGTTATGCTAGAGCAGTAGAGTAAGATTAGAGTTTTTTTTTTCTCTGTTGTGAGCATATTACTCTTGAAAGTTTAAGCGAAAAAGCAGTACTATGATCCTTGACTTAAAGTCCATTTCACACCCATCCCCCAACCCTTTAAGGCATTTTCCGCTACTTGTTTGGACAAAATCCTCTATCTGCAGTTTAACATACCTATTTTTAGATTTTCAAATAATCTACATTTCAGCTTTAAATTTAATTTCATTTACCACCAAAAAAAAAACAGCATTTCGGATACATATATTGGCCCCTTTCAGTTTGGCATGTATGTGAACACAGTAATTTAGGAGTGTTTTAAGCTCAGCACATGCTGATGTTTATCAGTGAAACCAAAATAAGGACTTCTATGTTAGATCTGTTCAGTTTTGAAATGCAAAACTAAAACAGTGCAGAGAGTAATCCCAACTATCACTACGGTGTGCTTTTGGGGAACTTTAAGGTTTCCCATTAAGCTAATATGAAAGATAAAAGCTGATGTTTTTACTAATTAAAATGTAAGAAAAAAAAATACAGAGCATTAACTTTAAAATCAGTCATTTCCCATATTTCCCATCAGTTTCCCTGTAGAGGAAATAATATTTTTTTTATATCTGAATGTCAGCCTATATAATAGTTATGCAAAGTTTATTATAAAAAGTTAGCGCTTTTTGTGTTTATAATGCAAATATGCTCTCCAAAAAAATCTTACAATGACAGGTGGTTACATATGTTATATGTGAACAGATATGACATATTTTTTCTTATACATATATTTATCACATGCTTTCTAAAAAGAAAATATGTCAGGTGGATTTATGGATTATGAACACACGGTGAAATTGTGACCACACGAATTATGGCTCCTGATGAGCCCAAAATCTGCCATGTCTGAGGTTTTTACAGTATTTTAAAGTTTTTAATTTACTTTGAAAAATTTATTCAGTGATTAAAATGCATTCCATATTATACAATCCCTAAATTGGCTTAGGATTTCACTTTGGTTTTTCTAGTCTAAAATTTAAAACAAACAGATGTTACTCATAATTAAGAACAGCGTTTTAGTGAATTTACCTTAAAAAGCACAATTTTCCCAATTTAATTGTAATATGAAAAGGACTTTAGAGACTATATAGTAATTATTTACTAACTGAGGGGTATGCAGTAGAATTTAGTATGGAGCTATTCTGTTATCTAGATTCAGTTCCTGTTGTACAATTATGCTGCTGTCCTGAATATTCAATTAAATAGATTTTTTTTTCTTTTGACCATTATGTTTAGCATAAATATTAACATACAAAAATCACCTAAATACTTATTTTTTAACCTTTTGTAAGAAATGTTAACATTAGCCCACATAAGCTAATTTCTTATTGTTTTGCAGTGAGAGAAAAGGGGGAGGATGTGGTGGTCGCTGTGGAAGGCGAGCGCTATGATGTACACGTCAAGGAGAGGAAGCTCTATGCTGTTTATTGGGATCAAGCTCCTGCAGAGGTTCGCCGCTGTACCTGGTTTTACAAAGGAGATAAGGACACAAGATTCCTGCCTTACTCTGAGGAATTCAGCCAAAGTCTGGAGGTAGCCTGAAATGTATTCTTAGCTTTTATATACATCTTTCCTACAAACTTGATTTACTTCCTGACTTTTGCTGCTGTCATACCTATAATTTCTCTCCACCTATAATCATTCTTCACTTTGCTGTTTTTTTTACAGGAAGCCTATATGATAGCAGTGACCTTAGATGAATGGAAAAAGAAACTAGACTTTCCCACTGGAGAGACTGTCATCTTGCACAACCCTAAGGTGAGGTTTGCTCCTGAACCTCTGTTCACGAGAAAGATTCTGCATAGGATTATGTTTCCAACAATTTTCAAAATGCCTGATTCTCAGTGATGCTAAAGAGCAGCATCTGTTTAGAGCTTCACAAGCTACACTGTCTGTGATTTAGCACAATTTAGCATTTTTGTATTTTGTTTCTGACTGGATGCTCCACAGATCACTGACTGTCAGGTAGACTGAAACAGCTCCATCACTCATATATATATTTGCCGGCAATATGCTGATGTTTATGGTATAGGTTCAGATATGTGTTTGTTTTTTTGCTGTGTTTAATGGCTGCTTTTTATTAGCAAATCCGACATACAAGCACAAGTTAAGCGATTCATCGCACTCACTCAGATGGAATCCAAAGTGCTCACATACTGCCGCTGTGGTTTTCAGCTTCGAAACCAATCCTTCCTCTGCTTTTCCAAACCTCAACTAGTGTTCTTCTGGCTCGCTACTCCTCAGTCACAGAGGTTTCATGCTACACCTCGTAGGGATCTAATTATGATCCTATGATGTACTGCTTATTGCTATATGCCTGTGTTTTTTTTTTTAACATGTTGGACACATGGGTGTTTATTATGACTTTTATCAATACTGAGAGTTAAAAAAAAAACAAAATGATAAAAACAAAATGATATAAAAAACTGTGAAGTTTTATTAGTAATGTGAAAGTGTAAGCCTGTACAACCAGAACGTTTCCACCTAAGTTTATTTCTAATGGGACATGGCCAAGGAAGAAACTGTTAATCTTTATGAAAAACAATAAAAACTTAAGATTGGCAGATAGTTTAGTTCTGGAATAATTATTTTTGGAAAGATCAGTCTAAAGTTGAATTATTTGGACACCAGAACAGAAGACACATTTTACAAAAAACAAATGCAGCGTCACAGAGAGAGAATCTCATACCAACCATGAAGCTTTCTGGTTGATGTTATGGTCACTTTTGAATTTTGGTGGTGTTTTCACACACGTGGTACCATGAGACGAACTCTGCAACCCACAGAAGTTGTTCAGGTAGTGCAGCTCATCCAGGATGGTACATCAACGCGAGCTATGGCAAGAAGGTTTGCTATGTCTGATGGCGTAGTGTCTAGAGGCAGGAGGAACTACCAGGAGACAGGCCAGTAAATTAGGAGGTGCGGAGGAGCACTGCCAGAGCCCCGCAAAATGGCCTCCAGCTGGCCACAAAAGGGCATTTTGTGAGGTGGCATTTCTTTGGAGGGCCACGCAGTCCATTTTGTGCTCGCCAGAGGTAGCATGACTGCCATTAGGTACCGAGATGCGATCCTCACACCACTTGTGAGACAATATGCTGGTGCGGTTGGCCCTGGGTTCCTCCTAATGCAGGACAAAGCTAAAACTCATGTAGCTGGAGTGTGTCAACAGTTCCTGCAAGATGAAGACCTTGAAGCTATGGACTGGGCCATCCGTTCCCCAGACCTGACTCCGATTGAGCACAGCTGGAACATCATGTCACGACCATTCCACCAATGTTATATTGTACCACAGTCTGTCCAGGAGTTGGTGGATGCTTTAGTCAAGGTCTAGAAGAAAGTCCCCTCAGGAAACCCTCTGCCACCTCATCAGGATTATTTCCAGGCATTTTAGGGAGTTCATACAGGCACTTGAAGGCCGCACACCATACTGAGCCTCATCTTGATCTGTTTTAAGGATATTACATAAAACTTGGATCAGACGGCAGTGTGTTTTTCCACTTTCATTTTGCAAGTGGCTCCAAATTCAGGTCTCCATTTGCATTCACCAAATGGTTAATAAATTTGATTTACATTGATGAACTTTGTCTGATTTTGTTCTCAGCACATTCAGCTTTGTAAAGAATAAAGTAATTAAAGATAATATTTCTTTCATTCAGATGTAGCAGTGTTCCCTTTATTTTTAGAGAAGTGTATATAATTGAAGCGGAACTGGACTCTGCAACATTGAAACAGACTCCTAACAGGTCAATAAACCCAAAAAGGAATGGATGCTAATTATGAAATGGAAAGTCCCTGGACATATCACAGCTGGAAATGAGGAGTGGAACACACCAAAAATAACCCACAAAGAAGTGTTAAATGCTTTGAGCAATGGCAACAAAAGATTCCTAAATAGGCTGCAGGGGTCAATCCTCAAAACAGTTTTTTTGTTTCTTTCTTTCTTAGCTGATAATGCATTATCAGCCATTTGGAATGCAGGATGATTGGGTGTCCTCTCCGTCAGAGCAGACACGACCTCGCACAGTCAAGAGGGGGGTAGAAAATATCTTTGTAGAAATACCAGATGGTAAGCATGTGTTCTGTTCTGCCAGATCATAATGGAGTATAAGCTTGGTATGAAGGATCTTCTCTAATTATGTCATTTTGTTTTCAGGTGAACCGGAGAAAGTGGATCACTTGGTCTTCATGGTCCACGGCATTGGTCCTGCATGTGATTTACGCTTTAGATCCATTATACAGTGTGGTGAGTTAGCGCATTTGATCGCACTTCCGTTTTTTTTGTGAGATGTGCATTAATGACTCCATTTAAATTTTTTTTTTTACAAATCTTCAGTAAATGACTTCAGGAGTGTTTCGCTGTCGCTCCTGGCCACCCATTACAAGCGTTCTCAGCAGGAAGGCCATGTCGGTCGAGTTGAATTCCTTCCTGTCAACTGGCACAGTGCTCTGCATGGTGACGCCACCGGTGTGGATGAGTACGTATAGATAAGACAAAAAAATGGGAAAAAAAATATATAACAGTTTTTATTCCAATAAGCTGCAAAATAAACTTTTCTGTTCTTGTTTGTATTTTCTCCTTCCTTCCCCAAATTTCAGGGACATCCAGAGGATCACTCTACCTAGCATCAGCCGCCTCAGGCATTTCACCAATGATACTCTGCTGGACTTATTTTTCTACAACAGCCCCACCTACTGCCAGACCATAGTGGACACAGTGGCCTCAGAAATTAACCGGCTGTATGTCCTGTTCAAGCAGAGACACCCTGAGTTCGATGGAGCAGTTTCAGTAGTAGGACATAGCTTGGGTTAGTCTTTCAAATGCAGAATCAGAAACATTAACCAGCAGGTAAAAGCTGGAAACTTAGGTTCATCTTGTCTTGTGTTACTCAGGTTCTCTGATTCTGTTCGACCTGCTAACCAATCAGAAGGATGGATCCAAACCAGGAAGAGTAGGCCTTTTCTGTTAACCACACCATTGTATCATATTTTATTTTGAAAAGCATATTCACAGTTGAAGCCTTTTCTTTTTTTTAAGGTATCTTCGGGTGAACAGTCTTCTTTTAACAGCGATACATTGGAGCAGACTCTGACAAAACTAGGCCTCCAACAGTACCTGGGAACACTGCTGGCAGAAAATGTCGACATGGAAGCACTGGTAATAAGCATAGCATCTAGCAAAAAAATTTGCATACAACATTTCCTTGTTTTGACTCATTATAATTACAGAGATCATTGTGTTTACTTAGATTTGGTTGACTAACCACATTTATGCCTGAGTGAATATATAGAAAGGGTTCGGGTTTATGGATTTCAACATGTCTCTCAACAAAAAACGGGTTCCAATAGAAAGTTAAACACATTTTGGCACACTTTATACATAACCTATCATAATTTATTTTCCTTGCTCTTTCGTTCAGGTCAGATTTTCACATCAGTTGTTCTGTTACCTGATTTTCCTGCTGTGTTCCCTATAATTATTGTTTGTTCTCTGACAACCTCTGAAGATTTTACAGAACCACTGTAAATACACGTTCTAAATACACATTACTCTTGAGAATTAAAGTAAAAGGTGATCTAACACAAATGCATAAAATGCAGATTATAATGAAAACATTTCAAATTAATTTTGGTTCTAATTCAAAATAATAGGTACTTCACAAAAGTTTTTGTAAATAAACTGACATATTTTTGGTTATCTTAGATTATAGATTTAGATACTAGATGTAGACTATTAACATAAGATTAATAAAGACAAATGGTGGATTATTTAATACTAAATCCATTTCTACACACTCAACAATTTGTAAAAAATTCTTTATGATTATATATTCTACTAACCCAGACTTAAAAGGTATTTAGTGGTGCAGATAACTTTTAAAGGTGCTAACTAGCTGATGGGGTGCCACCATGAGTTTCCAATTTTTAACTTTTTCACAATGTTCTAATTTTCTGAGATACGGAAGCCGAGAATGGTCGTGCTCAACATTTGTTTTTTTCCTTTGCCTTCTCGAGATAATGACACAACTATCTTTATCATGGTTAAACCATTCATTGTTTTCTGGAGATAACAAGATAATTATCTCGTTATCACGAGAACAGTTATTGATTTTTTGAGATAACAAGATGTTTAACCTGTATGAGTAATGAATGAGAATGGCCAACATCCCTGGATTCCCAGTCCATCCATGCCTGCGGTGCCTGTAGTTGTGCAGTCGCAGTACTGCATGTGAGCAAATAATCAGTTTTTTAGTTTCCTTTTTCTTTTCACTCATTGTCAGGTTGTGGTAGATGTTTGGATTGCATGGAATACAGTGGAAACAAATCTGACTGTTTTTGAATGAAAATCTTTTCCCATATGCACAATACAACTGTAAATATAGATCTGAGAGATAAAGATTGTACAAAGTGAAACAAATGTGTTTCTCTTGTAGGCTCTCTGCCAAGACAGTGATCTTAGAGATTTAGGAATTCCTCTCGGACCTCGAAAGAAGATTTTACACTACATCAAAAAGAAGAGGCTTCCACAGGTCAGACATGAATTAAATTCAGGGTTTAGTATTTTTCTCTTTTTTTTTTTTTAAAGATTCAACCCTGTTTAACCAATATCTTGAGGAAACAAGTATAGTGTATAAAACACTGTATACTCCTCTGTTTTTGCCATTATTTGATAAATCTGATGATGTTTTCTTTATATATCATAAATAGGACTGTAAGGCAGCAGCGGGGAATCAGACCTCTGAGTCTGCTCCACCTCAAGTGACCAGTGATGGTAACCAGCCCTCAGGACCAGAAGCACAGCAACCCCTCTTCCACAGAGAGCCTTCTATCACCAGCGCTGTGGACTATGAATACTTCGATGTCGGCATCGGACAGGTACAACACAGGCACACAGACAGTGTTTAATTGCTTATGGGGGGGTGCAGGTGAGCTTTGTTGCGTCACCGTTCCTGCTCTTTTCCTCTTCCTTGCTTGCCTGGAAAGCCCAAAGGAGGCATAGCCAAGGGACAGGTGTGTCTCACATGGTGACCACTTTCTCTTCAGGCTTGGTGTCTTGATGTGTTTGACTTGATGTTTCCTTTGTATAAAGTGCAGTTCTGGCCACTACATTGAAGTGAAAGCTTGAGAAAAAAACAATCTTGTATTTGTGTTCATACATTTGTATCAACTCTGCATGGGTGGCCATCTCTTCATTCACCAATGTAAATGAAGAGGATAAGAATCCACATCTGCTCTAAATGAAGTGCAATTATTTTTAAAATTTGACTTTAGCTAACTTCTCACTGCAGCTCTCATTTCCTATCCGTCCCTCCAACAAACCCAGGTGTCCGTCGATTACCCTCAGCTGGCGTTTTACCCTCAGACGTTCTTTGCTTTTGGTTCTCCGATCGGAATGTTCCTGACTGTACGAGGACTGAAACGCATTGATCCAAACTACTCATTCCCAACCTGCAAGAGTTTTTATAACATCTACCATCCAGTGAGTATCGGGTTTCTTTTCAGAATTGATTTGATCTTAGATTCTGCCTTCCTTCACTGTGTTCTGTTGTTTGTGATCTTATGAAATGCACTCATCTTTGACTGTTTGAATTCCTCTTTAGTACGACCCAGTTGCCTATCGGATTGAGCCCATGATTGTTTCGGAGGTGGATCTGGAGCCAATGCTTATACCCCACCACAAAGGCCGAAAGAGGATGCATCTTGGTAGGATCGTAGATTTTTTCTCTTTGTTCAGTTGTACAGTGGGAAGAAAATATTTGATATTAATGCTTAATTCCTATTCTGTTGTAGAATTGAAAGACAGCTTAACCAGAATGAGTATGGATTTAAAGAACAATGTTTTGGGATCATTGCGGACAGCTTGGCTGTCCTTCACCAGACTACCAGTTGCAGCACTGCCCCCAGTGGATGAGCGAGAAACTACGAATGACACAACCCCACAGGAAGAACAAGGTAGTTAAAAAAATACTCACTGGATTTGACTTAGTTTATCTTTGGGGTCTTTCTCTGAGAGTTGACATGCACAAAATGGTGTCCAACCCACTGCCGTTACATCCTTCTTATTCCTATGCATGCTGCACTGTTTTTAGTTTTATTTTGCTTTATTTTCACCGCCTCATGACTTTAAAATCTCAGCAGAAACTACTACTAATAGAGAAGACAAACTTATAAATCTATGGACTATAATACTGGAGTGACCAAAGACCATTCAGAAGCATTAGCTAAAAGTTAAGTCAGGATTATTAATGAATTATGTATGATAATTCATCTGACTTCCACTTTCTCACTTTAATCAGAGTCTGATTAATAAGGACACACAATAATAATCGTTTTTTGAACCAAAAATCTAATTAACGCATTGTGTTAGTCTGTTAGATATGGGAAGATAAAGCTTAATTGAAAATTAAATCTACAATGATTTAGCTTGGCACGCTTACAGAGGATGACTCTTGCGTAATGATCTTTATCATCGCCACAGGCTCTCGCTGCGTATGTGCTCCCCTCCCTCATGCCCCATGACTTTACCACCTGCTAAACAAGTTGTCATTTTAACTGAAGATTTAATTTACTGAAATTCCCTTTAGGCCGTTTCATGCCTTACTACTTATAAGTTCTCATTGGCTGAATTCACTCCCAGCTTCACTCATTGTTAACATAACAAACCACTGACGCGTCTGGCCTAGAGCAAATTTTTATGTGAGTTCTGTGGTTTTTATTTAATGTTATTTAGCTGGTGGTGTGACTTCACAATCTTACCCATGTTTTTTAATTACGTGGTGCACATTTATATTAATGTGGACAAACTGTTAACTCATTAGATGAAAATCAGGGTTTGCAATTCTGTGGAAAAAAAAGACAGTCACTTTTTCTTCCTGTTGTCGTTGTTGTCCCTGGAAGCTTTGTCGTTGCTTATTATTTGCATAATATGTTTCATGAGGTGCTAAATTTGAATATTCACCTGTTAATATAGGGTTTACAAGTCTCTACCTGTGTGGTTGGATTGTATTAAATAGATGGGAAAACCATAAATGTGTATGTGTATTATGCACACTCTGAAGGTCAACTAAGTCTATTAGATTGTAAGGGGTTCTTACAGACTATGCAACATGATATTCCTTATTGTTAATGAGTAAATACTTTCAAAATTTACATTCACAATTGGCTTCTCAAAATAATCATCATCAATATTACAAACCTTTTATATAATCTCTTAAAATGCTTTCTTTCTTGTTGTTATAGTCTCCTACAGAACAGTGATTCTACACAACATATGTGCATTTTTAGTTTAGTTATTGTACAACTTTTTGTGCCCTTTTCTAGAGGTAATAACTATTTTAGGGGAGGTTCTTTGTGATCTTTAAGGATGCTCATCCTCCAGTTAACAGCTGGCAGTGACTTTTTGCCTCAACAATGGTTAAACAAAATTTTATCCAGTTTTAACCTCTTGTAGAATAGCCCAGAGCTGAACACCTGAATCAAATGAATAGCTTATTACCAAGCTTTTATGTAGAACTTAATGTTTCACTAAGACGGTAATTCAATAAATAATGACTCCACATGATTCACAACTTTTACAGTTTGTCCCATCACATGGGTGGCGTGCTTATTCCTGCTGAATCAACAATTTAACTGTATAAGGTTACTGTTTCTTAAGCTTAGGGTGTTTTATAATGACATGGATCAGTGAATCATCTCCGATTTATCTCCAAAAGTAAAAGAGTAGAAGTTGAAACAAGCTCAGTCAAAGCAATGTTCAAACTCAGCGAAGATAAATTTATACATTATGACAATTTAACATACTGTTCCTGTTTGGGGTTGATGATTGTTATTTTTTTATCATGTTGCTTGCTTTTAGTTGCTAATTCAAAAAAAAAAAACACATGGCCTGTTTCAAATAAACTAATCTGGTCTAAAAATAAATGATACCCCGCTCAGGTAGGCTTGATCCAGAGTCTTGTCTGCTCTTTTCATGTCACTTGTCTGCTCTTCAGCTCTGGTTGCTCTTGTGCAGGAATCTCAATGTTTCCCTGGTCGAACACACCTAAATTAAACAATGCTTTTACAACCCTAGTAATGACCTATTTATTTGATTCAGGGAAGTTGAAGTGGAGGAAAGTAGCAGGGCAGTTTGAGAGCCCTGCTCTAGGCTGCACATTTCTAGTGTAGCTTTCCAACACATTGTTTTCATCGAAAACTCCAGACTTTTCCCAGAAGCAATGTAGTTACACATCAATTCTAGACCCCTTCATATTTTATAAAACTAGGGACATTAGGTCCTAACTATAAATCTTGAACCTTCCAGAACAATTGAAGATCTCATCATTCCTAGGTCCTGTGATTTATGACGCAACAGAAAGTCAAAAATTGAATTTTTGATTTTTAAAATGAACGCTGATTTCACTATTTTTGTTGTGTGTGAACTACTTTGACCAAATGTTTCAACATCTGTTACATCATTTGTGGACTTTAGTACCTTCTTTTTTTGTGGAAAAAGAAAAAAAATCCTAAACTTAACAAACACTAACATATAAGGTTATTTTTAGCATTTTAGATCCAGTTTAAAAACCACTTGTTACCCTAAATAAATAGGGTAACAAGTGGTGGTAAATAGCAAAAAAATAAAATAAAATAAAAATACCCCTATGGATTTGGTCAGTTTAAAAAAAAAAATACTGATAAAAATGTTAGAAATAATATTTGGCTATTTAAAAGATAAAGCATAATCAGTTAATTATTGCCATTTTGAGAATTTACAGAGACTTTTCTCTACATTACTTTCATTCCTTTCCAATTTGTCCCCATCTTTTAAGGTTAAAGTCTTTTACTATAATGCAAGAGACCCAGGTTCAAATCCTAGGTTTTTAAGGAAGGGAATCAGGTGTAAAGCTTTGCCAAGTCTGTAAACAAGTCCTAATGATTTTCTGTGGCGCCCCCTGAATATGGGAGCAACCGAATGTAGGAACCCTAGTAGCTTATTAGTTATTCTGAATTATAGGCAAGATTTAAGTATTTAAACTTCTCTCTCTGACCATATAATGCTTTAGAGGCCTTTTATTATTGCAGTCACAGTTGCTTCTCTGATGCTTAAAGAACACTAATTAGCTAGTGTGTTGTAAATCTAAAGCTTGTTGGATCGTTATATTCCCTCATGTACAAAGGTCGGTAGGATAAAAGGAGTGACTCATATGTTTCTCTGGAGATTAGATAGCGGACAGAGCTGAGCTGTTTAATGCATTGTTTTTGTAGAGGCACAATTTCCAGCCTCCATTTTATTTTTTAGCTCACTGATAGGTAGGGTTGGGAATTGAAAAGATTTTCACGATTCCGATTCCCTTTTCGATTCTATGAAAC